AAAAATGTAATAAAAAAATACTTTTTCTTCAATATCCCTATAAGAATGCAATAAATGATATTAATTTTTTTGTATTTATGCGATTATCTGATGTTTGAAGAAATCTGCTCTTTTTAGACAAATCTGCTAGGATAATTATAGAGGATTATTTATATAATTGGATAACGATATAGCATAAATAATTTTAATAATAGTAACATTACTGTTTTTTTTCAGGTCGTTCTTCAAGTCGATCTTAAGATCGTCTTGTTATCTTAATTATATTATATTATAATTATAATATAATATAATTATAATATAATATAATTATAATTATAGTTATAACATAATATAATTAATAAAGGAAGGACGACCTGAAAAAAAATAGCAATGTTAGTAAAATTATCAATTTATTTTTTAATTATATTTAAATAAATATTTAATATAAAATATGTTAAAAAGCATCAATGCTTACTTAAAAAAATTTTTTTAAAGATTAATTTCAAGAAATACACTTATTTATCATAAATTTAATAAATCTGACAAAATTCTTAGTAATAACATCGACATCACTGACTAAAATGTTTCATGTAACTATTATCTCGTGAAAAACATCTCGAAAATCTCTTTTCGAAAATTTCTCAGATTGTTTCCGCGATATTTTCTATTTTTTTCCAATTTTCAAATCCATAGTAATTCTGTTCGCTCACTCACTGAATACTGTATCGCGTGTTCGCGATATGTATATGCGTGCATAGACACGCGCACGAATTGAAACAGACATTTAGTTCGAATAGAAAAAGGAAGTCAGAAGGACGGCCGGAAACAATCGATATGTTTGCACTGTGACGGCCACGCATGTCTTTCTTCCGTTCCAGTTCGTTTCCTATATTCGTGTTGATAACGCGCAGCGTTGCACGCGGAAATCGATTGTCGCGTCTGGAAAAATTCCAGACGAGAAAGAGAAAAGCGCACGTACACGTATTCCCGTATATTTCTCTCTTCTTTCTGATCGAGAAATCTGATCGTAGATATGCTTTCATGTCGAAAAGTGGGCTCTCTTTTCTCATATGTGGAGAGCTTGCTTCGCTCCGATTTCGCCAGCCGGAAGCTCCTTATCGACGGCTTCTGCGCGGTTAAGTCTCATGGCATATAGTTGTCGCAAGCCTTTCCGAACACCAGCAGTAGAGCTCGACACGCTGACCGATACATAATAATATGAAGCACTGTATTACGTTCTGTCGAGTAAATGTAATTCGTGAAAACCGTTTAAAAATTTATACAAATTATACTATGAATAGCAGGAAAATTTCTTTAAAAATTGATTAATTTGTACAGAAATTATTGTGAAGTTTTTGAACGGGTGTGAATTTGACATAATGGAAAATGAAAGCAGTAAAGTGAATTTAAAGTTGTATAGTGTTAGATAAGTGGTTTTAGGATGCGCATGTTTTCAATAAATCAATTTTTTAATAATTGAATAATAAATTTATGATAGTAAATAAATTTATAACAAATTATATTAATAATTAAGAGTAACGTCACATTAGATTAATAGCAGCACGAAATCGATATATTTTTGCATATATATTTTTTTGCATATATATTTATATATAATTATTTTTCTCTTTATCAAATTATTCTTGAAGTTAATTTTTAAAGAGAAATAAATATACAAGATCTCTCGATTATTGGAAAATTGGGCCAAGTCGTGCACGATGAAGCAATTCGTCCGCCAATTTTATTCGTCAAATTAATTCTTCGTCAGATGCAAGCGATGAACATTTCTCCATTAATGGAGCCGGAGCTTGCAATAAACCATCTATTTTTCGTAGCACGTGTCTGTTCGCGTCAGCTCATTTACTCGCCAGAGAACATTATGCCATTGAGAAGTATGCATCAGTAGTTCCATTTCGAAACGTCTCGTTCGCAACTAAATCTATCCGCCGACGCAATTACATTGCGTAATGACGCAATGCGTAATAGCATTGAAGCAATATTAAATTAAAATCTATTAAACAACATAAAATTTGTATCGGTGAGATTATAATTTAGTTCTATCGATCAGTTTCCATTCGAACTATAATAATTAATTAAAATTTATTTTTAAAAAGTTGTAAGTAAATGTCATTAATTTGAATTTTAAGACACTATAAATAGATACCCCACAATATACGCTAATTGGAAAATAATTATCTCGTATAGGAATGCCCTAGATCTATTAAAATAAAATGTTCAAAATGTAAAAATATATTTCTCTCTTTCTTTATTTATCTCCCTTTCTTTATCTATCTTTATCTCCCTTTCTTTATTGCAAGTACAGCTTAAAGGAGAGAAACAAAAATATAATGTTATATATTTAATTTAATTACAACTCGATATTAATTAAACAAACTTTATTTGAAACATTCTAAATGAGAAATTTAATATTGAAATATAGTACATCTCACAATTAGATATTTTTTTGATTGATTCAGTATTATTACAAACGTTTATAAAATTTATGCAGAACATAATTTGTTCTGCGATATATTTGCAAAGACAGATTTGAAGATATTACGCATTTATATTGATACATCTTTTTGATGTTTGAAGATTTATCTCTTGCAGAATAAAGCGCAATTTAAATTGAGTATGATGTATATTACGAATGCATGCGAAAGAAAGTGAGAAAGAAAGAGAGAGATAATATGTATGTGCATGTGTGTAAGTGGGTGAAATACTGTACACTATTACATGCACGCATCGAAGAGCCAGTGCAATTATTGATAGACTTGTATCGCACGTACGAAGAGGTCAAATGCAATTAAGCTTTATACCACTCGTAACCCACGATCCATTCTACGCGAAATTGGAGAGTATTATGTTGTCAGTAAATGCGGGAACGGATTTACTGAAAAGCTCAATAAATTCGTTCGATATAATCTATAAACAAAAGAGATACTTGGCAATCGTTACATTCTACAATTCAAGGCAATGTATTTTTAATAAGACTCAAATGAAAATTAATAAATATGAAAAATTGTTATAATAAGTATTATAAATTATAGACTAATATTTCGCAATTTTTCATACTCTCTAATATTTATTAATATTCTTAAATATTTTAATAATAATCATCTCAATATGTTATATAATAAATATTAAAAATTACTAAAAGATTACTAAAATGTTGAAAAAAAAAAAAAATATATATATCTTGTAATTTATAAAAGTTTATTAATTTAATACACTATAATAATACCATTTTTCTAATTATAATTTCTTTTTTCATAATTGCAATAGAAATAACACATATAATTTAATTAATATAATATATAATATAATTATTTTATTTATTCCATTTTCAGTCATTTTAGATTCATAAGTCTTTTGATCACTGAATATTCCAATCTCTGGCGCTTTAAATTTCCAGATTATAAATTTAAATCCTATAGTCGCATAAAATTCGTATATCTCTTTCACACAAATCTTTTTAGTCTTTGTATGCATCAACCGCTATAAATTCTCGTAAAAGAGTCGATTCAAACCCGTCTGAAGTAATCCGATAGCATTTTAAGAGAGGCGAGAGAGGACTTTTCAAACGATCAGTTATAATTAAGGTAGACTCATTCGCCAAAGTCGCCTGTACAAAGTAATTCCTCTCCAAGTACTTCCATAAGCCGATAAATTCAGCTGCCTCCCTCTTCATGGGTGACAAGAATTAAATTTCTGTCCCTGTGGGGATGTATGATTGATTATTTCGCTGTCATTTTTATCAAGTCAGCTCGATGGCGAAAAAATTTATTGTCAAATTTTTGGCTCAGTACCTTAATTAGCGAGTGAAATTAGGAGCTTTCAAAGACTTTCGCGATTAAAGCTTTTGGAGCTTTTGAGAGTGAAAGCTCACACTATCCCGAAAACTGGCGGATCGCAAATTGCTATTTCTCGCGTGATGGCATAACGGGATTAGGATAAACAATTTTCTTCGCTTTTGCGTACAACGGTTTGTAATTACGTGAGTAGGAGCTTGCATCGAATTGTACCTTTGTACGAAAAATCGAATGGAAATTGCGTGCAGATATTGCCGCCGCTGTGTCTAACACGCAACTTTTGTGCTGATGTTAAACACAATGAATGTAATAATCGCGACAGTTAGTTCAACGGTGACCCTAATTTGCCTTATACTTAATTAGAAATTTCTAATTTAATAGTTAAACTCGCTGTGCGTTTAACGAAATAATCCGGTTCTGTATAATGGAAAGATAATTATAGCAGTTTTACTCTCTAATATAAAATGCATTAATCCTCAGCTGAATTTTAAGTTGCAGTTTAAAGCAATTAGCTATTGAAATTAGTTTTATTGGTGCTATATTATTATAATTGACTATAATGTAATTCCGCATTTATGCATTTATTCATTGATCATATGCAGCTAAATATAAAAGATGCCGTTTAAAAATTTTCCTCCTCTTTTTTAAAATATTAAAAATTGTGAAAAAATATTTAGTGTGCGAAAAAAATTTTAAAAGATTTAAAAATATTTTTTACAGTAAATTTCCAATCGTTTTCAATTTTGCAATTTTGTTAAATAAAAAAAAAATAAAAACACATAAAGTGAAAAAGTAAAAGTACTCAAACAGAAACATAATTTTTTATGAAAAATAATTTTTCAAACTTTTCTTTTTTTCCTAGAATGCTCACTTGATGTATTAATTGTTAATGCAATTGCAACTGTTCATATCTTTTTCTCAGAATTCAAGTATCCTTTTTCCTAGCACTTTTCATCTAATTAATATCATATTTATCTTTATCATTATTACATTATAATTATTTTATATTATTTTTGTTACATTTATATTTATCTTTATTGCAATAAAAATAAATATTGTTTCTCTTTCTCTCAGTTTAAAAAAGCGCGTAATCAATACTACCGAAAGCAGAACACGACGGCTCCGTGACCACGTGAAGCGGCTGAGCCTCCTGTGACAGGGGGTTCGAGGACCGCGTGTGCATCCCCTCAGAGCGTTCCTTCTTAGACGATGATAGACCCAAGCTCGTCCGAGGAGGAGAGCGAGGAGGATCAGAGCACTCATCATGGCGGTGGCGGTGGCGGAGGTCGTGCTGGCAGCGGCAGCTCTCACGGTTCCCGTCGTCATCCTAGCAGCATCGGCAGCGGTCCAGGTTCTGGTAGCGTCGGTTCGCTCGCTTCGGGCCTCACGGCCTCGCCCGGTGGCCCGAATCACGTGGGTCCGCCCAGCACTGCGAGCACCCATGGGTCCGGAAGTCGCACCACCGTGGGTCCGCAAGACACCGCCGGGGCTGGCTTGGACGTGCCTAATCTCAGCGCCAGGAACTCTTTATCGCCGTCCATGAGCGCGGCTCAAGATGCAGCTAATTACGCCCAGAGACCTACCAGTCCGTCTCCTTCTGTCGCCAGTGAGAAAACGGAAGCGGAGATACAAGTACACGCGCAAATGCACTCAAAAATTTCTTTCTATTTCCGTTTCTCACCAAAAAAATCTCTTTTTGATTGCTACAATTTTTTTCCAATATTAAAAGTATCTACAGTTAAAATATACAATATATGTATATACATAAAATAGAAAAAAAAATAAAATGTGCATTAGAAAATATAATATACGAGAGAATTTAGAAGAGAAACAATATAATATTCCACATAATAAAGGGACAACTATTAAATTGAAATTATTATCGATAACTAAAATTATAAGAAACATTTACCTAGGGTCAATTTTTTTTCGCGAGAAATTGGATGACAACTTTTCCATCAATACGAACAGCATCGCTTCGTCGATCCAATTTTTTCTTTTTCCTTAGGATAAGCAAGAAAGGGAAGAAGAGGAGAGGAAAACTCGGATACAGCTTTATGTCTTTATATCTAGATGCATCGCTTATCCATTCAATGCCAAGCAACCGATGGATATGACGCGAAGGCAAATGAAAGTCACAAAGCAACAATTGGAGACTATATGTTCTCGTTTTCAGGTAAATAAATTTTTTGTCATTTAAAAAAAGAAATTCATTAATTTTTGCTACTAAATATAAAAATATAAAAATAATATGAAGATATAAAATAAAGCGTATATATATAAAAATCTGCTAAGATAAACTTATAAACTACATTGTTGTTGTTAATTGTCTATTTATGTTTTACTGAACAAGAATATTGCTTGAAACATACTTGTGTTATGTATTTAATATTTTATGGAGTAAGAGAAAACTTTTATGGCGAATTATCGAAGCCTTATGCAGAGTTTTATAGGTATCTATCGTGTAACCTTCACCTCCGTTGCTCTTAGATATATCGAAGCGATATACGATCGCATTAAATTATTAGCCGTTGTAAATATAGATTGTCTCCCTTATATGATGCAATCGTGTTTTACATCTTACATCGTGCTGCGTGAGATTTATATTAATTTTTCCTGCATTTATTGTTATGTACAAAATCAGATTTATATATCAATTTATATCAAATATTTAGATATTTCTCACAGGAATATAATAATATCACTTAATAAGACGTACGTAATCTATTCATCAAATATGAGTCTGTTATCGATTACTAAATATGCCAATTCAAATATCATCAAATGTCAATTGAAGAATCTATACGATTTAGAATTATATCAATATTACAGCTCGACAAGAGAAGAGTCTCAAAGAAAATTATACATTACAAGATGTATGGTCGTTTAAAATGCGCGCATGTGTGTGTGTGAATTGCAGAGTTTTTTGAAGGGTGAGACGCAGATCATGGCCGACGAGGCATTCCACAATGCTATACAGAATTACTTCGACGTGTTCCTTAAGTCGGATCGAGTAGTGCGAATGGTGCAAAGCGGCGCATGCTCCCAGCTCGACTTCCGCGAGGTGTTTAAGAAGAACATTGAGAAGCGTGTTCGGAGCCTCCCGGAAATCGACGGACTGAGCAAAGAGACTGTGCTTACGTCCTGGTTGGCCAAATTTGATTGCATCTTGAAAGGTACTGGTGACGACGACACCAAACGGCCTTCCAGGATGCAACAGCAGTCTTTAAACTCGGAGCTGATACTATCGAAGGAGCAGCTGTACGACATGTTTCAGCAGATTCTTGGAATCAAGAAGTTCGAGCACCAGCTTCTGTTCAACGCCCTCCTGTTGGATTCAGCCGACGAACAGGCTGCCGCCATCAGGAGGGAGCTGGACGGTCGCGTACAGAAGGTCAACGAGATGGAGAAGGTACCGTGACGGTCGCTTCTTCTTCTTTTCATTTTTGCATTTATTTTACTTTAATGCTATTTCATTTTGGACATGGATACGTTCTTTCTCTCTGTTCTTATCGTCCACTGATTGCTTCTGCTCGTTCCTGAACACCGACCGTTCCTTCTCTATCCTTAGAACCGCAAGCTCATGCCCAGGTTCCTTCTGAAAGAGATGGAGTCGCTCTACATCGAGGAGCTCAAGTCGTCTATCAACCTGCTAATGGCTAATTTGGAGTCGTTACCGGTCTCCAAGGGTTCGATAGACAGCAAATACGGGCTGCAGAAGCTGAAGCGCTACAACCATCGTGGTGAGCGCTCCCGCTGCCGCGGTCAGGGCTCCCTCGCTAAACTGGAGGGCGACTCCGCCGATTCCGATCCCCAGCTGACGAAAATGGACGTCGGCCTGACCTTCCAGCTGGAAGTAGTCGTAATGGAGGTCAAGGGCCTCAAAAGCCTAGCACCCAATAGAATAGTTTATTGCACCATGGAGGTGGAGGGCGGCGAGAAGCTGCAGACCGATCAGGCCGAGGCCTCCAAGCCTATGTGAGTAGAGAAAAAGAGAGAGTCGATCGTGAAGATCGAGACTCCAATTGCAATAACCGATCAGGGGGGTCAGGACCGATCGCATCATTCTCGTCCACGGGTCCTATTTATAGGTGGGACACTCAGGGTGACTTCACTACGATGCATCCGCTGCCAGTAGTCAAGGTCAGACTGTACACGGAGAATCCGGCAATGTTGGCGCTCGAGGACAAGGAGCTGGGCAAGGTGATTCTGCGACCCACTCCGTTGTCTTGCAAGGTGCCCGAGTGGCATCGTATGACTGTGCCCAAGAACTGCGCCGATCAGGATCTGAGGATGAAGATCGCCTGTCGCATGGATAAGCCGCTAAACATGAAGCACTGCGGCTATTTGTACGCGATGGGCAAGTCCGTATGGAAAAAGTGGAAGAAGCGGTACTTTGTGTTGGTCCAGGTCTCGCAGTACACATTTGCGATGTGCTCGTACAAAGAAAAAAAAAGCGAGCCGTCGGAAATGATGCAGCTCGATGGCTATACAGTGGACTATATCGAGGCCGTTTCTGCTAATCTCATGGTCGGCATGGATTTAGAGGGCGGAAGGTAAATTTTCCTCCCCCCACAGAGAGAGAGCGAGAAATACCTAAACCCCGCCGTAGTAGCATGTTTGTAGTCGCGCAGAATCGTGAAATTCACAAAATTGTGAATTGCAATTGTTTGTCGCCATCAAACATGTTAACTATAATTCTTCACTTTATTAAATTTTCATCGAGATATTTTTTATCATTAGTGATAGAAATTTAATTAAATTCTTTTTATTTTTATAAGGCCACACTTTATCAAACATTGTAAATCAATAGCGCTTTACAAAATATAATTTTATGTTAATTTTGTAGCAAAAAATAGAATATTACAAGAGAATACAGCTTTATTAGTACAGCTAGTTAAGCGCTTAATTTTTCTCGTGTAGAATTGTAAGATAGTGAAATACAGTCTTCCGTTCATTAGACGAAATGTTAAAATTAAATCCATCAAATTTTTATGGAGATAATTTTGATTATTAATAATAGAAATATAATTGAATTAGTTTTATTATTATAGAAAACTATAAATATATTTTTTGCAACTCAATAGACTCTTTAGACTTGGTTAAATATGATTTTAAATTGATTTCGTAATAAAAAATAGAGATAAAAACGAATATATAGAGTTCTATTAATTATAGCTTGTTAAGCGCTTAATTTTTCTGTATCGATATTTTCTAATATGATCGAGCAAGATATTTCGCAGCTAGCTGGCTAAGATGCGTTGGGTCCCGGTCGCACATTCGCACAATTCGCATTTATGAGTTGCGTATATCCGACAGGTACTTTTTCAACGCTGTGCGCGAAGGCGACAATATAGTATATGCATCGGACGACGAGAACGAATGTCACCTGTGGGTGATGGCAATGTACCGGGCGACCGGTCAATCACACAAACCCACCCCGCCGGTCTCCGTGGCGGACAAGAACTCCACCATTAGCAAGATCCAAGGCGATGCCGACCGTGCGAAGAAGCACGGCATGGAAGACTATATTAGTGCCGATCCGTGCAAGTTTGATCACCACATTCTATTCAAGTATCTGCAAAACTTGATCCTGGATTACAGATTGAACGATCCTTACTGCTCCCTAGGCTGGTTCTCGCCCGGTCAAGTTTTTGTTTTGGACGAGTATTGCGCCAGGTAATGAAGCTCGTATTTATTAATCTAGTTAATTCGATCATTTGCAGTATTTGTACATATTTATAAATATATTGTTCATACAGAGATTGTGTCATTGTGCGTAATTTTAACCAAATATACTACAGTTTATGAATTAAATAATTGAGGAAATATTGAAAAAGTCACACACATATATACATACATACATATACATGAAATTGAGATATATAAAATTAATCTTTTTCATGAGTTTTTTCTTTGCAATATCGATTTGAGAGTCTGTTTTCTAATAATAGATACGGCGTACGCGGGTGTTTTCGGCATCTCTGCTATCTTAACGATCTGTTGGACAGACTAGATCGTGGGATTATGATAGATCCAACATTGATACACTTTAGCTTTGCCTTTTGTGCCACTCATGTCTACGGTAACACAACGTCGGCCGATGGCGTGGGCTCGATTACTCATGAAGAGAAGGATAAATTTCAGGATATTAAAGAACGGCTTCGACAGATTCTTGAAAAAGAGATCACCAATTTTAGGTAAATAATTTTAACGTTGATTGCAGATTATGTATGAAAATAACGTAGAAAAAAATTATTATAAATAATTTTTTCTATCTCCTATTTCATCTCTAAAGAATTTCTTTGTAACATACGATTATTTATATATGATTTATATAATTTATATTTGTATTTCTTTCCATAATAGAAAAAATTAATTTCTTAATAAATTATTTGTTTTTTCAAAAATGATTCTTTTTTATCATTTTTATTACAGCAATTTGTAATAATAAAGTTGTTGAAATCGTTGTTAAAAATTGATCAATAGTCTTCTCGCAATTTTTTTCCCAAAGATTAATGTATGAATTGTATAATCTTTTGCAACAGGTACAGTTTTCCATTCGGGCGTCCGGAAGGCGCCTTGAAAGCAACTTTATCTCTGTTGGAACGTGTTCTTATGAAAGATAGCGTAACGCCTGTGCCACAAGAAGAAGTAAAAGCGCTGATAAAAAATTGTCTGGAGACAGCAGCACTGGTAAATTATACGAAACTGTCCGCCGAGGCGAAGATCGAAGACGATCTGAGTGGCGAGGTGTGCGTGCCCCCCAGCAAGAAGCTGGAGGATCTCATACACCTCGCCGAACTGTGCGTGGACCTGTTGCAGCAAAATGAAGAACATTATTCGGAGGTATTAGTTGGGTTTTTAGAACTGAGTGTCGATTCTCGGGGTTCTCGAGAGAGAGGGTCAGCATGCCTTGATACACGGACTTGGTAAGGGTCCGCCACCTCCTCAGAAGACAAAATCGCGCTTCCGCCGTCCATTTCTTTTCGTCGTAGACTTCAATCGTGTAGATAATCATAGAAAGCTTCTGATATCATCGCGAAAATTGCTTTCGCTTAGAGTAATCGCTGAATCACAGACGTCGTAAATATCCTTTTGTAATCGAGATATGTTTACTTCTTTGCGGAAAAGCAATACTTTGTCTTTTTTTTTATTTGTTCCTTTTTTTAATTTATCACATGTACCATATGTATATACATCATTAAACACATATCACAAAACAATGTAGGATAAATGCATCAAAAATAGATAATATCTGATCTAGATTTTTGTACGTAAAATAATATAATAAATAATATATTAAAATAAAATAATATAATTATATTTTTAAAGAAAAAGGCAAAATTAGACAAGACACATTATTACATTTTAATTATATTTTAAATATAAATTAAAATAATCAATTATTTTTGCAGTTTTAAATTTGGTAATTTTGATTAATATTCTTACTAAAAATGTTATTAATAATATATGTTAAAAATAATATTTTTATTTAGCAAAGAAATCGAATTATTTATTGGTGTATTTACCCTAGTACCCTACACGTTGCTGCGTTTAGTTTAAATTTAGTTTCATTTTGACTTCTCATAAAATACTTTTCGCAAAAGAGGCAAGTTTCATCGATATTCAATCGCGATATCCTCGACGTCTTGTTCGATAGTCACGAAACTTACATAGAGTTGCAGCAAACGCTCGTCGCTTAGCGTCACGAGTTTTATGATCGTTCTCACGCACATCATGAAGTAGAAGTAGTGTCTTCTGGGTACTCGAGGGCCCCGTGCTCAGGGTGGCGTCCCCATCACCCCGAGCTAGAGGAAATATGCCCACCGTATATGTGCGATGTCCAATATTTTCACGATCCGCTCCTACTACACTGTACCGCAGGCGTTCGCCTGGTTTAGCGATCTTATGGTGGAGCACGCCGAGATCTTCTGGTCGCTATTTGCCGTCGACATGGATAAAGTCCTCGCGGAACAACCGCCCGACACGTGGGATAGTTTCCCGCTGTTCCAAATAATGAATGATTATCTCAGAACTGACGGTAAGTTTAAATCATCATTTCTTGACGTTTTTAATATTTTATTATTTTTTTAGATATATTAGAGATTCTATTGCTTTAAGTATTTTAGATATATAAGAGATTATATTGCTTTAAGTATAGATCTAAAGATTCTGGATGATGGCGAAATTTAATTTGCATGCAGACAATTTGAAGAACGGAAGGTTCCATCAGCATTTACGCGATACATTTGCGCCATTAGTAGTGCGTTACGTTGATCTGATGGAGACATCGATCGCTCAGTCGATCCATAAAGGTTTCGAGAAGGAGCGATGGGAAATAAAAGGGAACGGTTGCGCTACTTCGGAGGATCTTTTCTGGAAGCTGGATGCGTTGCAGTCGTTCATCGGCGGACTTCACTGGCCCGATCAGGAATTTAGGCAACATCTCGAACAGAGGCTGAAGCTGATGGCTTGCGACATGGTGGAATCATGTATACAGAGGACCGATGCGGCCTTTCAACAATGGCTGAAGAAAGGCGTGACTTTTATTTCGACCGATTATATTATACCATCGGAAATGTGCGCTATGGTGAATGTTATTTTGGATGCCAAGAATCAGAGTTTTAAACTTTGTACTGTCGATGGTGTTGATGTGGTAAGTTCACGATCAAGTTTTGGTCGAGAAAACCGGTCCAATGCTCCATAATTTAATCCATTCCATATTAAATATTTCATAATTTCAATATTTATGATAAACATTTGTCACAGAATTTATAATGTGTGCAAATATTTTTACATAAAAATGCAATATATATTATATAATTATATCTTCAAACGCGATAATGGAAACGTACTGAAATTAATCACCCAGCTCAATATATTTCATGTTATTCCTATGATTAATATTTATAATTAATATTTGTGATTTTAGCATCAATATCACGCCAAAATCGATGACATGATTGAGAAGACTTCAGCAGGAATGAATCAAGGAATGATTAACAAGCTAATAACAGTATTGGAAACGACACTCTCAAAATTATCTCGTTATGACGAGGGATCGCTTATCGGCTCCATTCTTAGTCTTACGGTATTTTTCATTTCGTTCAATAATATAAATTATTTATTATTATCAATTTTATAATTTCAGTTATGGTATTTTATAATATTTCCACAATTAATGATAGATTTTTTATTAGAAAGCCGAGGTGTGACTCAAGTGACAATATAAACTTGAAGAATAATCGGAACTTTTTTAACACTTTAATATCTAACAATTTGTTTTTAGAAGGTATCAGGAAGCGGAAAAGAAATGGGACAAGCCTATGTAAACTTTACGAGAAACTGTATGGATCAGATTCGCAGCAAAGTCCTTGACGAGTTGTGGATTTTGACTTTCTTCGAGGTGAGAATCGATAAAAAAACAACAGAAAAGATCTTTACTTCTAACTGTAATTTATCTAAAGAAAAATTATCATTATTAATATATTTGAGTTATTGTGATTGTCATTTCGTCAGTTGTCATTATTTTGATTTGTAGCAATGGTATACAGCACAGATACAAATGTTATGTAACTGGTTGTCCGAGAGGCTCGATCATAGCTTACATTTGTATCAGTGTACCTGCCTAGCTCACATCGTGAAAAAGATCTATTCGGACTTTGAGCTCCAAGGTGTCATGGAGGAGAAACTCAATACGAAGACATATCAGACTATAGACAAAAGAATGAAGACAGAAGAAGCAACTTGTGCCTTAACCATGAGCGCTCAGAATGAAGAGTAAGTTTTGTTTATTTAATAAAATTTGTAAGGAAATATTACATATATATATATATATATATATATATATATATATATATAATTTTTCCATACAGCTACAAATTTTTAGCTGTATCTTTTCATATAAAAATTATTTACAATTTATTTAATTACATTTATCTGAATTTTATCATTTAGAAAATTTTGAGTTGAAAAATAATTAATTAATTTTTCTCTTTTTGCAGAGGGCTTTCGGAGAATGGCAATGACGATGAGGTTGAGAGACCTAAGACAAAAGTGACGATCGTTGAGACGATAACGGAAGACGCGAATTATGTAGCCAATCTGAGCAACGTTACTTCGAACGTTGTTGGCAAAGTTGGTAGTATGTTTGGCAAAGGCATCGGCGGTCTTTCTACAAAATTCGGCTCAGCCAGTAATTGGTTCTAGTTATTGTTTCTAGCACTCTGCCAGTAAAAAAACCTTACATTCGACTAGTACGTTCCTTCGTCTAAATAAGAGGATACGAATGGGGCAAGATTTCTAAAGGCGTAGCCAGTCTTATCTTATAGGCAGTACGATGATCTAGAGTTTTGTCCATATAAACGAATAATACGATTAAAACGATGCAATCGATCGGATCAGTTGGCTTTTATCATCTCGCAAAATCGTTTCAATTTTATTGCGGAGTTTCTTTGAGACTTTTGATAGTTTATCCAGAATTAATACTAAAAAAATTATTTATTGATGGGCTCACGATTGAGAAACTAATTATTGATATATTTTTGTTTACTTAGATATAGTTTCTCTGAATTTCTATTAATAAATTTTTTAGATCTCGTAAAACGCGCGTGTTAAAAATTATCGTATTCGTTTTAATTGACCGTTCAAATTCATTTAAATTCGTTTTAACCAATTCGTTTGACCATTTTAATTATGTTTGATCTCAGGTAATAGCAAAGATATAGTTGAAATATATTCGGAAAGGCTGATTGTGTGCAAGAACACGCACGATATAGGCAAGAGTAAACGCGTAGATATATCTAATCATATTATAAACAAAAGTATATGTATATAAACGTACACATGCACACATATGCAATGTAATTATGAGATATTCATACATTTTGTCGTAGTCTGCATGTGTCAGACTAACATTGCTAATATATATATATATATATATATATATATATATATATATATATATATATATATATATTAGCTGTGAATTGTCGGAACACAGAATATACAAAATTTTTCCTACTGTGTATCGCAAGTTGGTTTTGCGGATTTAGTTGTCGAAGGATAAAAGTAAGGGCACGTATTTTGCGTAAAACTGGGAAAGATTCTCGGGTCGATTGCAACGTTATGTAGATGCGGAATATGGGGAAACGCGACAGTAATATGAAAAATTGCGAAACGGAAATGAGAAAAAAGGAAAGTAAAAGAATACATGACTTGTCGAAACCGCTTTATTTCGCGACCAATAATGCTTTTCCAACTGTTAGATACGATCGCTGTTATCTGTTGGACGACCATTCGCCCGATATTCGAGCAAAAGAAATGTTCTTTTGAATGAGAAATAAGATACACAAGATGAGATCAAGAGATTTGTCGAGAAATATTTTATTTCTTTTATGGGGAGAATCTAAAGTCGATTTTTCCAGTGCAAGAATTGTCAGCATTAAAAATTTAATCGTAAATTGATCTTCGTTGAAAGTCCTTCAGAAATTAAAATTGATAATCAAAATTCCTCTAAAATTTAATTGATAAAATATCTTGCAAATTTTTGCTGAGGATTGAGTCTATATTCGTCTAGGTCTCAAATATTTTTCGAAGTCCTGGGCATTCTATATAAGAATTGATATTAATTTAATTATTCACATATTTCGTGAATATTAGATTGTATAATGAATGTGTCGGATTTATGCAGTTGATTTCTAATTCGTGTGGAGAACTCAATTAATAAGTCAAACGGCAATAAATAGTAGACATTTCAGCGTAGAATTTAAAAAATTAATCGGGTCGCAACTTGTGATACGTTGTTGGCGTAATCTTTCGTAGCTTTTTCCGATGGTACTATATTTACTAAATATATACGCAAAGAAGTTTAAGCATATTAACTAGTCGCGATCGAATGGTCGCTGACAACCATCAGAAGCAGTGAACGTAGTAGCACGTTGTGTCTTTTATCTACGTTACATTATTACAAATTATTATACAAATCTATGCACGATATCGTTAATAATAGCGTATTGTCCGCGAATTACTATATAAAAAAATTAATTATTTATTTGCAAATGAGAAAGAAAATACGAGCAATTATGCACAGTGAAACTTTCTTGGTGAGAGTCGAATCGAAAGAAAATAATTAAAAAATTCACCACTTATTAAAGAGTATTAAAATCTTTATTTTAATATTACAAACAACAATGAAGGGAGAATTCTTTAATTAAAAATCGTACGAAGGCTATTAATGTTTCGCCAAAATAAACTTCTTCATGTGCACCAAACTGAGTGCTCGTTTGAGAATATTTCACTCTTAAGAGTAACTCTCGCAATATTCTGAAATTCTCTAGTGATCTGAAAACATTTTGGTAGTAATTCGCAACCAGGTTTGCTAGATTTTGCTGCTGGGGAAGTCGCTTTTGAGAAGATTGAAATATATAAATAAATCGCGCGTGGGTTGGATATTGAATCGCTTTCGATTTTGCTTTAATTGCACGCGACAGGGAGGAAATATATATCTTTTCTCTTTAATTTTATATCTTTTTTTGCCGTTGTTATCGTCGTTATGATAACGTCCTATAAAAGACACGTGTTATGTAGGTTTACAATGCAAGAGAGCCTTGTCTCTGGATCACGAGGCGCATGTATATTTTCAACACTTCACGATATATAACGTTCATATATTAATGGATATTCATTCAGCTTGATATAAACTCTTGAAAGTGCATCAAACGCGAAAGTATAACAGCGAGGCAGGATGAAAAATGTACGTCCCTTAAGAATTTTAGTTATTTTGCGTTACAATGTTTTGTATATAAATTTTTATTTCTATGTTTCTGTGCTTTTTAAAAAATGCGCGAGACAAATCCTAATCGCCTTTACCCTAACCATCGAGCTCTTTGAGCTCTTTCTGTCTACCTCAAGTTCCAAGAACCACCCAAGGGGAATAAGTCAAAGTAATGTCATCATATTGAATAACATATTGATCAATATGATTTTAAATTATTTTGATTTCGTATTCTCCTTGGATTATATATGTAGAATAATTCCAGAATAAGATAATCGAGAAAAATTAACATAATCAAGTAATTTATAAAAATAATTTAAATTTCATAGTTGGGTTAAAATTTATATTTTTAGCAAATAAAATGTTGATATGATTTATTCGAATGAATCATATAATTCTTATTTAGAATCTATATGATTCATTCTAAATAAGGAAATTATGCATTTCAGAGAATTATAAATTATAAATTATAAATTGCCAAATTTCCTATGTAATATAATTTTTTATTCACTGCCTGGTTGGCGGCGGATACATTTTTCATTCTACTTCGATGAATAAGGCAGTATAAAATTAAACGTAAAAAAGAAGGCTAAAAATACATATAGAACACATACACAAATGTAGAGCAGTCACGCGAACGCGAGGCAAGGGATTTACCATTCGTTTGTACATATTTTAGCGATGGCGAAACTGGAAAGAGTAAATTTTTTATATGACACAAAAAAAGCGAAGCATGAGAGCGAAGCATGTGAATTATTTCACGGATTAAAAAATTGTCCTATTATGCGCTCAAATTGAAAAAGGCAAGAGAGATTACAAATTAAAGAAATACGCATGGCTCGGTAGTTTCTGCATCGGCGCATACATACGTGTGTGCGTGGCAAAAGTAAATTTCTAGGGACGATGTTATATTTTTCATCGTCGACTTTCGAACTCGACAGAATATTTTTTGATGCATTGCACATTTATGGAATAGGATAACCAAAGGCGAGTTTCTTCTTTTTCTCTTAATCTTTTCCTATTTCTTTGTTTCTTTCTTTCTCTCTTTTTCGAATTATCTCTCTCTCTTTCACTCTCTATCTCTTTCTCTCTCTCGCCAGAAATTGACAAGGTAAACATGGTAATTTGCTAAAGGATGAGACAAATATTATTATATAATATTATATTAAATATTCTATATATAGATTCTTTTGTTTTTGTTGTATTGTTTCATGTTTTTGACGCCCAAAAAAAAGAAAAATTCTATGTGACAGTTATTTATGTATATATTGTATTATTTTTGACGTTAAGCTAGCAGTGACATAAATTGGACTAAGGCTACATTGTTTTTTAAATCGAATCAAATATCGCGCCGATTATATATAATAATGACATTTAAGAAATGCTTTTATTTCATGCTTCGGAATATTTTCTCGTTTTATATTTGTATTATTTTTATCTCATTTTTTTATAATTATTTATGTAAGCCTTGGAAATTCACCGAAAGCATCTTTACAGTCGTAAATATGAACAAATCTAATTTAAAAACAGTTTCTCAACATTATTAATTTTTCTAATTATTAAAAATCAAAAAGTTTGATAAATTAAAGCCGCGAATATATAAATAAGTCACAAAATTTTATTTTTTTAAATTTTAATTAAATTTTTGTATCAAATTATTGTATCAGAAATTTTTTCAACTCGATACTGTCAAAATATAGAAGATTTCATATTTAATAAAAGAAAAATAAACAGAATATAAAAGAAAATAAGAAACATTCACAAAAGCCTGATGAGCACATTATTACAATTGCTTGAATGTTTCGTCACTGATATCTCAATAACTAGCAAAGTGCAGTGATACAATTGTATGATTTATTGCCACGATGATGTATATCAATACCGACTAAGTAAACGCGGCCTTATACACACACACACCGTATATGATAATTTACGTCGCGATCGTGACGAGATTCTACAAGAGCGGAAAGTTAAGCGCGAGCGAGATTTGTTTAAGCCCAAAGAAAGAAAAAGTGGGGAAAAAAGAAAAGAATACAAAACACAAGGGGAATTTGAAATTTTATCAAAAGTAAAAAAATATCCAAATTATTATATTATACTTATCAATGCTAACAACGTTAGAATTATTATGATTATCGTGGTTATTCTTACTATTGGTAATTCTCCTATACTCTACTAATTAGATTAGAACTGTTACGAAATGATCTCTCTCTCTTTCTCTCTCTCTCTCTCTCTCTCTCTCTCTCTCTCTCTCTCTGTCTTTTGTCTCACTCTTTCTGTCTATCTATCTACCTATTTATCTATCGATTTATCTATCTATTTCCGTCTCTATTTCACTACTCCGACAATAGTAATTCTTCACCGATCGAACTTCGATACGAACACTTCTGTCGCCAGCTCTCTCTACCTTGTCTGTCTACCTTTTTTACCTTTTTATGTTTTTCTCTTTATCCTATCTATTTCCTTTTTTCATCATCTTTTTCCTTTTTATCCCTCTCTCTTTCCTTTTTTTCTCTCTTTCTTTTCCACTTACCTTTTTCTGTTTTGCGTTTAAACTGTGACTTTACTTCAATCGAAGAGATGGTCTTTTTACTCTAGCCAGTGTTCTAGTCTCAATTTAACTTCTATTCAACTGTTGTTCTCTCGTTAATAAAAAGTCCGACGAAAAAACAGAACAAGATGCAAAAAAAAGATGATACATATCCTGATATTTTTTATTTCCTTCTCAATGATCGGCTCCAATAATCGGCACTCTATCAATATCATCCAATCATGCGTTTTATCACGAAGAAAGAAAGAGAACAGAAAATCACTCGCTCTCATTGTTTGTCGCCAATACGATAAAGTCCGGAGGGGAGAGTATACGCGGTATGAATATGCGCATTTTTTGTAAATAACGACATAATATCCTACCATGCACATGCAATACACATCCTCATCGTAACATCATCATTGTAACAGAAAAACGATCGAAAAAGAAAAATCTACTGTAAAGAAAAGATGGAATTAAAATAGATTTAATTTTTGTTGGAATTTTTAGAATGAAGAAAAAAATAAGTGAAAAAAAGTAGAAAAATTTAATTTTTCTATTCTTTTTTCTTCATTTCAAGTATTCGAGCAAAAATCGAATTTTCCTTTATTCCATCCTTCCTCGTAAAAAGCGGAAAATAAAAATAAGTCCAGGCGATTAAATTTCATTGTAAATAAGCGACGCGCCGACGTAAATTTAAATTTTTGTGTCATTACTCGCCGGAGCTTGCAAAAAAAGAAGAAAAAAACGGAAAAAAAGAAAAATCGCTTGTTTATCGGGGTAACGAATGAATGATAATCATCGCCTGTCTCACTCTCTATCTCTCTCTACCTTTCTCTCATCCATTTTCACTCATCGAAGCATTAATCGCATCTCTTTACTCGACTGCAAAGCGGAAACGACTGTGATCTAGATTAGTGTTACACATCGCATGAACAAGAAGAAAAAAAAAATCGATCGATCAGTGCTTAAATGCGACATCGACCATGATCATGACAACATAGATTATGAATGTTTCGTAGCGATTAAGTATTTCTTATGGACTCTTACGCATATATATATATATATATATATATATATATATATATATATATAAATGAAATATATATATATATATATACATATATATATATACACATACACACACATATTACGCCACGCTGAGAGAGGCTATGTGAAAACGTCGGAATGTTCTTTTTTTCCTTTTATGAAGCATTTGTGTAAGTAATTTGCATGTGGGGCAAGAATGCAAACGCATACATGTGTAATTGCAATTAATAAAGTATACGTTGTAAAATGTAACATGTCATGTAGCGTGCATACCTTCGTATTCGTCGCGATGTCCATCGTGTGCTCGTCCAATTTCATCTCGCTTTTCTTCTCGAAACATCTCATTGTGCATGCATCATCCAACATTCAGCATCCCGATGTTGCAGAAATGGCCTAAATAATTCGATAAGATTACTATTATTGAAGTAAAATGTCAGTGTAAAATAAAAATTAATATCTCCTTCAAAAATACTTTTTTCCGAAATATTTCAGAAAGTTAATTTGTTTATATTTGAAAAAAATATGGAAATAAAGACGAGTATGGGCAACAAAATTTAAAATTCGATGTTTGTGATTTTAATAATTCAATAATTCCTTTGAGATATTTTTCATGCAAATATATGATAATATTTAATAATATATGAAAATATATGATAATATATAATAATTTGACTTGAGAAAAAGTTAAATTTGATATAAGAAGAATATACAAAATGAATTACGAAGTGTATAAAAATTGATTCTTTATGTAAAATTAAGTCGAAAATGTTTTCATATGAGACTTTGTTTTGGAAAAAATTGTTTTCAAAATTTGAAAAATTCACAACATATTATTCTCTTTAAAGCTTGAATAATCTCTAATAATCTTTATTATATATTATCGAATTCGACAGCAATTATTAATATATATATATATATATATATATATATATATATATGTATATATATATACATAAATATAAAACAGTACAACATTCCATTTATTAAAATAATTGAAAATAATTTAAGATATTAATACATTCTACAATACTTTAGAATATTAATACATTCTACAGTCGAGATTTGTTTTAATTCAATGTATATACACGCAAGATCACTTAAGTTTAAAAAAGTAAATGTTATCAATTTTTTAATTCTTAAACTTGAAATGTTCTTGAAAATAAAATGTCATACGAAATAGTTTATTCTATATGCTTATTTTATTTTCGAAATTGCTTGGTTTTCAAATTGTATCATTACATTTTCCAATTTACTGTGGGCGTTTTTCGACACAGAGGATACAGTGTTCATTTTATCCTTATTAGTTGACGAATGTAAACAAGGATGAAATGACTCAGACAGCACACATGTCCAAAAGACATCTAAAAGACGACTTAGGCCCGGTTCCACAACTCGAGTTAATCCGAGTTTAATACGTTAAACTGGAATTGGTCCATTCGCTACTTAAACTCGGATTAACTGGATTGTGGAACTGGGCCTTAAAAACGTCTTAAAGTTTTCTAAATGTCTTTAAGCCTAAGACATCTTTTGGCCTTTTGTGCTGTCTGGGGAGGGTCACTGTGTTACACTGTGTCCTCTGTGTCGCTTGCTGAAAAATGTCCTATGTATTATCGTTACTGTAATTTATGATTTAGAAAAGATTATTAATAATTATTTTACCAGTAAATCTATAATGTTTGATGTATTTTTTCTTGAAATAATTCGACATCGCCGTCTCTTTCTTGTTGAATTTTTATGACGTACCATTTAAATGAAAACACTACCAACTGCACCGATGAAGAACTGTTACCAACTGCAAAAATGAGATGAGAACTGTAATCACTGTTATCGATAATTCAGAAATTTATTGTGCGTAGATAACATCATTTCTCGATTGGTAACAATATACAGAAAACTTCTCAACATTTTATTTTGTTTTTATATAAAATACAGAAAAGAATAGTTTTCTTACTATATCTTACTTAAAAAAATAAAAGAAAATTAAGAAATATAAATAACTTTGTTACAGCACAAAAGAAGAGTAAAACAATAACTAATCTAGTGAAATCTATTTTCTATAAATGCGAATATTGCATTTGTCTTATTCAAAGAAAATTGAATAAAGAATTCACATACAAGTGAAGAATATAAATTCTTTTACACCGAGTAATTGTACATGAAATTTAAGACTTGTTTATTTTTGATACTGTATCTGCATTTACTTTTTTCTTTTTTTCAAAGTATATGTAAGTGAAGTTTTATTAAGTATTAAAATTTTTTTTATATGTTATGGCACGTGTATCATGCGAATTTAAAATAAAAACTGTCAAATATATATAATTCAAAGTGCCAAGAAAAAAATAATTGTGATAATATAAAAAAGATAATTATAAAAAAGTGCATTTGCTCTGTAAAGATCTATAGCAACTAACTTAAATCATTCGAGTTCATCCATACATTACATAATCGCTTTACATTATTTAACATTTATTAGCATATATAATAAGTTGAGAATTTAAAAAAATGCGTACCTGTCACGCGAATAAGCACGTGGTTGGTTAATGATTTTATAATTACTTTATCAGCAACTGCTTAGCTCGTATCAATACTTCTTTTAGTTTCGAACGCCAATCGAAACGCGCCGCCGTTTCGGACAGACCACGCAAGTTTCATAACAGTGCTGAACAGTTCGCGTCCTTGATTCTATTAGTGCAGTTCTGGTGCAGGACGAGGATTCCTGAACGCGAGTCGTTCTCCAAAAAAGAGGGATCGTCCCCGAGAAAAAATCCTTCTGAAAAATCATATCCACACTCCTCAACGGCCTATAATATGCTCACGGTAAGAGTTTTGCATTGAAGATCCACGAAGAACTAGCTGTCGCAATCTGTACCCTTTTTCACGTTTTTTTTCAGTTTTTTCTATCTATGACTTGCTGTTTATAAATAATTGAGTAAATTGCATAAAGATAAAATATATTGAGTAACTATGCGAGTAGAAACAGAATTACTGTGAGTTACAATCACAATACGTTGTGATTTTTATGAAAAAAAAGGACTGCAAGATTCTGACTTTTTTAAATAAATAATTTTTAATTATTGTTTTGTTTTCAGACTGTTGTAAGGACCGTTGTCCGCCGCTCGTTCTCCACATCGAAATGGGCAGCAGCACAGCAGGTACTCCACTGTTAGTTAATACTTGAAAATCTAACCTAAAATCTCAGTTCTCACAATTTATTGTGAAAAGACACGATAAGGTCAGGTTTCACCAATGCTTTCGAGTTTATCGACAATTTTTTCTACTTCTCTCCATCCTTCTCGTTTCGATGATTTCTCTTATTTATGATCATCTATTAAAGTGAAAATTTGAAGGACATGAAAGGTCATTTAACTGTGGCTGAGTATCCTCTCAGAGAAATTCTCGTGAATATCCTAGATGACTGTGCGAGACGCTTTGAACTCAGCCCTGGATGAGGAGATGGAGAAGGACGAGAGGGTGTTCATCCTTGGTGAAGAAGTTGCTCTATACGATGGTGCATACAAAGTTTCTCGGGGTCTTTGGAAGAAGTATGGAGACAAGCGTGTTATTGATACGCCAATTACAGAAGCTGGTTTTGCTGGCATTGCTGTTGGAGCTGCTATGGTGCGTTTACAACTTATTACATCTTTTCTTATTGTTATATCCAATTGCATACATAATATTTTTTAGGCCGGTCTGCGACCAGTCTGCGAATTCATGACATTTAATTTTTCGATGCAAGCAATCGATCATATTATCAACTCTGCTGCTAAGACGTTTTATATGTCTGCGGGGAGAGTCAATGTACCAATAGTGTTTCGTGGTCCCAATGGTGCTGCCGCAGGCGTTGCGGCGCAACATTCGCAATGTTTTGGTGCTTGGTACAGTCATTGCCCTGGTCTGAAGGTAGTATCGCCTTACAATAGCGAAGATGCTAAAGGTCTACTAAAAGCAGCTATTCGAGATCCAGATCCAGTGGTAGTTCTTGAGAATGAAATACTGTATGGTGTACAGTATCCCATGTCCGATGAAGCTTTATCTAAGGATTTTGTTTTACCCATTGGTAAGGCTAAAGTGGAGCGGGTGGGCAACCATGTGACATTGGTGGCACATTCCAAGGCTGTCGAGGAATCCCTCGAAGCAGCTAACGAACTTGCCGGGAAAGGAATCGAAGCCGAGGTGATAAATCTTCGTTCTCTCAGGCCGTTGGACATAAATACTATCATACAATCTGTGGTGAAGACGAAACACTTGTTGACTGTCGAACAAGGTTGGCCGCAATGTGGTATCGGTGCAGAAATTAGCGCAAGAATTGCCGAAAGTAAGTTTTGTTCTATCATTGCAAAGTATTTTACTTGTACTGAAAATGTTAATTGTATGACATAAAAATGACAGTTAAAAATTAGAGCTAAACAGAGCATTAAAAATAGTTGATTATTTGATTATGAATGAATTCGAAGATGTTCAATTTCAGAAATTAATTCTAGTCAATTCATTTTAAGTTATTCAATGTTTTTAATAATAATATCTTTCTTATTCGCTCAAACTTATTCTGTTTCAGGTGAAGCTTTCTATCATCTCGACGCACCTGTAATTCGTATCACAGGAGTTGACACACCTATGCCATATACGAAATCACTGGAGATCGCAGCTTTGCCACAAATTAAAGACATAGTGGACGCTGTTAACAAAGTACTAGGAGTCACGCAGTAATCGCAACGGTACACGAGTACTTAGGTGATATATTTTTACGATTTTCCCAATGCATCGTACTTTTCCCATAATTTGTTATCTTTCTATCTGGCATATTCTATCTTTTGTCCAATCATTGATCAATAGAGTAATTATGAAAGAAGAAGGGGGAAATAAATTAAGAAAAGAAATAAATAAGTACAAAAATGTCTCCATTCTGTAAAGATAATACATAATACTCTATCATCACCAGATAGAATATTTTAAAAACATTTCCTTATAAGTTTTATTCATGGAACTCCTACAAGAAAGTACGTTTTCGAAAAAAAGGGTACATTTGTACATTTATTGCAATGTATAAATAAAATTCAAACAAATGTACTTCTTTAAACTAATGCGGAAGATATGTATTATATATATTTTCTGCATTTTCTGCAATATATGTCATTAATGAATAGAATGTGTGATATATCAATTGCGATTATATGTGTAAATATATATTTTAGTTAGCAATATTTTATTAATATACTGAATTGTAAAAATATGTTTGAATGCATTCAATTGAAAATCTCATTTTATTTAATTGGAAGTCACATGTTTAAGTAAATTATCTTAACCATAATTATTTAATATTCATGCGTGCAATATTAATCTACTGCCATATATACACATACACATATATAAGCTGCCTTTTTCACTTTGTAGAGTTTCACATTACATATTTGAATATTTCAATAACTTATAAGAAAATGTTTATAGTGCAATTATTGCAATTGTCCACATATATCTTATTGCAAAATATTATGCAGCATATATAAGATGCTGTATTTATTTATTTATTACAGAAAACTAATAAATTAAAATAAACAATTTAGAAATTCTATTTTTATAATCTATACCTTTTAAATATATAGTTTTTGTATTTATGTATGATACATACGTAATAAGCAGCATGTCACTACTGTCATATAACGTTCAAACGCATCTCTCAGTTCTCCTTCTCTAGATAAAAATTGAATCATATTTTTTCAAATTCATAATCTTAATCTCGCACGCATTGTTAAGCAGGCATTACGGTTAACTTTCATAATTCTTACCTAAGTACATCCATATCAAGAGCGCATTGTGTATAAACAGCCAAGAAATTTCGCAGATCGGAATGCGTCCAATTAACTTGTCGCCAAGGTTCGATACATCTCTCTACTAGTTCCAAAAAGAAAAATCTCAACTCTCGTGATCTGTGCAAGTTGCATCCAATTCCGAGTATCGCTCTCGAATATGAACGAAAATTCATGTCCAATTCTTGATAAGATCGATCGAGAAGCATCGGCTTGAGCTTAAGGCATACTAGACTGAAACAAATCAATGTTGTTAATGTTGTGATATGTCTTTTATAATAGATAAATCTTTATCTCGATAAACTGTTCGATTTTTATCAGATTTAACATACTGTTTATGATGTTTATCGTTTTCTAAAAGAACTCTGCATTCCGATAATTCTTGTAGAAATTCTCTATCTAAATCAGTATCAAAATATTCAGATCCAACACAACGATACGTCCATGATGCCATCATACTGTTAGCACAGTGATATAAATCGGGAAATGTTAAAAATTGCAGTTTTCTTTTATTCATTTCAAATCGCAGACACGCTATAAATACTATTGCAGCATATCGTCTGTATAATAATTAAAAACAACTAATTATATTATGATTTGCATATTATAATTCAATTATTTGCAATTATACTACAATAAATGTTATAAATTTGCAATTAAAATTATTACATACTTAGCAAGGTCATCCGAAAGTAAGAAATGTTGTTTGATATTGGTTGCGAGAGAACCTGGTAAATCTTCAACAATTTTAAACACTCTTTTCACATTATCATACTGTCGTCGACAACTCTTCAATGTGATACTTGTTTTCTCTGCCACTTCCTCCATATCCTTCCTACTTTTGGACGTTATTTTTTTTCCCAATAATTCACGTATAACAACATCGTCAAATTCGTAATACCTGAAATAAATATATTATGTCAGTATCTCAAAAAGAATTAACAACGGATCCAATTTTGTCAAATGTGTAATTAATGGATTACATGATACTTCGATTCTTACATTTCTATAAGCATTTGACTAGTTTGAGGTTCTATTTGGAAGGCCAGTTGTTCGCTGGCAAGTTTCGTAGGAGTGTGAAGTAATTTCTCAAGTAAAGCATAGGTGCGATAATGATCGAGTATATCAGATGCGACCAGCTCGAGCGGTGCGTTAGTCTGTTGACATATTCCTCGTTGATGCAAGATATTAACTGCGTCACTGGCTAAAATAACCCATCATAATAGATTAATAAATCTAATTTACGCACAGACAAGTAAGTTGAAAGAGGTTAGATTATATTTCTATCACTCACAAGAATGCCCATCGACCCAAAGCTGATAGATTTCAGGATCGACGAGAGTATAATTGCTAATAAACACATCAACTTCTGACAACATCATGAGGTTAAATTTATACTCTCGGTTTACACGAGCTAATCACAGATGCGAAATCGCGGCAAAAGTCATGTCGACATCGACACTTTTCCCCGAGAAAAATTTATCTGTATAAAATCATTATCTGCGCATAAAAATTACGTAATCTCATCGGAAAAAGTTATCGGCCATATTCGGCGTAATTCGACGTTGGCCGCCATGTTGAAAGCGTGTGACGTCACGCACTGCGCACTTGACTCGCGCAGTGCGTGACGTCACAGGCTCGTTTGACTCACGTAGTCGCGTTTGAACTAGTAATAGTGAAACTAGTGAAGTGGAAAAAATGGTGCGCGTCTCCGAATCTACGTCTCATTATATCTGTGCGAATCAGTGCGAATCGGCGTCGAAATCTGGAGATTAGGTGAAAATAATGAAGCTCTGTTATATCAGAAGGTAATTAGATGGATATTAATAAGCAAGATCGTATTTTAGTGTATATATTGAGCAATTGAAATATCGATTCTCCACCGACGAATTCAACAACCGCGCAATATGCTTATTTTCTTGTATAATTGTGTAATTTGTGTAACTTTCCTTTATATTAATGTTTTATATATTATTAGATTATATCACATTACAAAATATCATATATATTGATAAATTTATCAGAATATACATAAGGAAGAGGCGGTTAGACGCTACATATATGACGTATATATATATATATATATATATATATATATATATATATATATATGTGTGTGTGTATAACAAATATATAAGCTATATAATAAAATAATACAAAGATGCAGGGACCCAATTTCTTTATCTTTTGATAAATATTTTTGGAAATGTTATCTTCATGATAAATATTTAATAATATAGTATCTTCGTGATATACATATATAGACGTTATATACATATATAACACACATGTGTATAACATATATAGGCGATAAATTTAATAAATAATAAAATAATACAAAAAATGCAGGAACCCATATTCTTTATCTTTCGATAAATATTTTTGAAATAGTTCTTTATCTTTATGATGAATATTTAATAATGTAGTATCTTTTCATGACATATAGATGCCGCTAATATCGAGGTGTGAATTTGCGGGATGAGATAAGAAAATGGCGTCGGAGTATAAGTTGTTGGCGGAGATGATTTCCTCTACGAAATTATGGTGAGTACAGTAAAATAATATTTTTAAATTTATTGCAATAATTGTTAAATCAGAAAAAATGCCTCGTTGAGAAATTAAAATATTTATTTTAAAAATCGAGCAAGAAAATTAAATTTTGATATAATTCTGATGAGATAATTAAAATCAGTATCAATAAAATAATTAAAATAGTTTCATTAGTTTCGTCGTTGGTTAGTGTATATTAATTTTCAATTTTCGAATTAATTTCGAAGTAATAATGTAAAATACAAATTTAAATGAGAAATCAATTAAACTCAACGATCATTTTTATTGTGTTACGGTACTATACAATATTTTTTTCTCGTTTGTCGTTTGTTTAATATCGTTATATTAAATGTAAAAGTATTACATTTTAGATTTTAATTGGATGATTTTAATCGGATATTGTTATCATAATTTCAAATATTTTAATAAATAAACCTTTAATAAAAGTTCATAAAATAAAAATATGATTAGAAATTAATTATCATTATTTATCTACTTGTGTGTGTAACGTTATAAAATTTTATTCGTTATTTCGAAGAGTTTTTCATCGCTTATATAAAATTCTATTTTTTATCTAATATATTTCAAAAGATAACTATGGCAAAAGATAACTATAGCATTTTTCTAATTATTTAAATATTTTACACACAACTTTGAGAATTTAAAAAATTCTTAATAAAATTTCAAAACGTATATCAATTCTACTACGCAAATTAAAAATGACTGTATTTTCTTTAAATTTAGAATACACACACGTTTTGTAACGTAGTTTCTATTTTTAACTTGCACTTATTAAGAGCGTTTTCTTGCGGCATTATTAGCCACAAATTAAAGTTGATACTTGACTTTACAGCTGTCGAGTAAAAAGGTCACACGATGTTACATGGCCATGCAGCCCTGTCACATGTCAGTGTTTTATCAGCGGTACTTTATTTTCATTTTTTCACCGCAATCAGTAAATGTTTAATTAAAGTAATCGCCGGACTTTGGAGCAAAATAATACAGACGGTAGCGTAGCGGGCGCGCATGCATGCATGTATGCATGCACATACACATGGATCCGTTCACCGGCCGCAATTTCACACGATTGATTGACAGGCGAAGTGCAGTAGCAGTGGCAGCGATCGAAATTACCACTGCACTCGCACTTGCGCTCGCGCGGACGCAATTAATTCGCGGCGGGGCGACGTCACGTAACGTTAAACTCGTTATCGTGCGGGAAATGCGCGTTAACCGGCTACGACTGCCAACGCGAGCGAATAAATATTGTAGTACCGTAACAAAACCTGGCTGGACGCCGGATTCGTCTTGACCAAGTATATCGATCGGGTCATATAGGGCAGAATGATGAATACGATTCTTGTCAACTATCTATAATGAGATGAAAAATATAACGATGCAAATATAAAAACTTTTTCTTCATCTTCCTTGAGCTAGAATAAACAACGTCGTTCTGAAAGATAGAAAAAATATTATCATGTACTTTTTAAGATATTATCAACTTCTCTTTGAAATGCTAGTGTCCTATTAATTTTGAAGTTTTTCTGCATCTCTGTAATAATGTTATATTATAACAATATTATAATTCGTATATATTTTTTAAAACAACGCCAACAATAATATTAAAAAATTTTAATGAGGACATATTTATATTTAGAGAATATTTTTTATATTATAATATATTAGTAATTGTATTATTATTTAATTTACAGTTCCACAACAGAATTATATTATTAATTGCTTTATTTTATAATGAATAATAATTACAAACAGAAATATAGACTTTTATGAATTATTTTACTAATTCATTTTACTAAAACAATTTTTTTTTACTAATTAATTTTACTTAAACAATTTTTTTTTACACATGTGTAATATGTTATCTACATTAATTTATATTAAGGTTAAAGATATTTTATAAGAAATTTATTATTTAAAATTATATAGATTTATATAAAATAAATTACATTTTGTATATGTGTAAAAACATGCCAAAGTATAATAACCTGATCGATATACTCAAGATATATATTGAATAAAAATTTTAGCACACATATATATTTTTTATTTTTATAAAATTGTTGAAACTGGAAACTTTTTTTAGTTTTCTTGTTTTTTCAATCAAACACGCATATATTTATGATAAGAGAAAATTATATATGTATATATTTATTATTTTACTAAATATTATATTTGCATTTTAAATTATAAATTAATGTTTACACAATTTTTGTCTGCCATCTACAGCTATACATTTAGCAAAAAAAGATAAGATATGTTAAATAATATTTTTTAGAAAATATGCGCATACACATTAATAAAAATTTAAAACAATTCGCATTCCGTACTAAATTTGTGAAATTTGGTCTTTCTATATTACATAATGTCGACTTCTATTAGATATCATTTTCGTCTCTTTAATCTTTATAATTCCATTAGTTATTATTGTCCTTATGCATCAATTATAGGTGTATACAAATTAATGAAATATATCATTTAATTTATTTTAATGTCAGTATCTATATTTCGGTTAATATTTAAAAAATATCCTAAAATATTTCTCTTCAATTTTCTAAAAAAATAAAATTATATTATATATATTGCATTAAGATATGTATTATTGAGACATTGCATTTAATTTATTTTATGCTATATTTTTTATACTGAAAGTAAAGAGAAGAGAAAAATATTTTTCTTATTGCAGTGATATTATGATTTCCGTTTGAAATCTTAAAGATATAAATATATCATTTGTTTTAATATCAGTTTATTTCGGTTAATACATATTAAATATCTTAAAATATTTCTTTTAAATTTTCTAAAAAAAAATAAGATTACATTTTATATATATTGCATTAAGATATGTATTATTAATTGTAAGACATTGCATTTTGCAATTTATCTTATGCTATATATTTATATGGAAGTAAACAGAAGAGAAAAATATCTTACTTGCTACAGTGATATTATGATTTCCGTTTGAAATTATAAAAATTAAAATCTTCTGTCTTTAATAAATAACGAATATATTCAATACGAAAGCAAAGCGGAAACCAGGGAAATTCGTGTAAATAAAGATTACACTATCTCGTTGCTGTCACCAAAGACATACACTTGTTTCGTATAGAGTCGCGGTAACTATTACTTCCCTGTTGCATTTAATGTCTCTAAAGGACATACTCGGTTTCGATCCTGCGGTACAGTGCCACCCATTGTCTCTCGCTCTCTGCCTGGTTCTTGTTTTCTTTTCCACTTCCTATCCCACCTCTCTTCACGTAGCCATCCTCTTCCACTTTACCATTCTCTCTTCACTTGCCTCTTTCTCTCTCTTCCACTTTCGTTTCCTCATTCTCTTCCTTCTCCTCCTCCTTCTCGCCACCATTTCTATGTCTGTCTCCCGGACGGAGGAAGGAAGCGCTCCAGGAAATTCATTTGCAGAGACGTGGCACCGTACAGCAAAACACGAATGATATATTTACATGGCGCCGAGGGAGAAACCGGGCGAGATGGATTTACTCGGGAAAGGTTTATCGAGCGTTACGCTAAGGGAAAGAAGGAGGGAGGAAATGCGAAATGTATTTTTTGAAAGGAACTCGCTAATCCACTCTCGAAACCGTACGGAAGTTCGTCCACAGTTTTTACCCTCATCCGCCTCCGATGAATTCTCCCTGAGTCGGGCTTTCGGGCGTGGCTGAAAAATGTGTGACGTGAGTTTGAACGCGACTTATTTCGACGCTCAACAGATCCCGATTGACGTATATATGCATATATATATCATAAAAATATTACACACAGAGAATATATAGAATTCATATATTAATAATTTTTTTTATTTCGCATATCATAATATTAAATCACGGTTGACTAAAATATATATTATACAAATCCGATGAAAAATACATTATTTACATATTTATTTGCTTAATATAATTATAATAAACATATCTAGTGAAAAAGTTTGTCACACGTAAAAGTAATATAAGAGAGAAAAATAAAAATTGTAAAATCTTAATAACGACATCGCTCTTTAATAACGACATTACTTTTAATTAAATTAAGATTAATTAAAGTGAATCGGAAATTCGTGAGGATTGAAAAAAAGTCCACCTCTTTATTTATTTGAACGATATCATGAAAAGAATCAATTCATTTCCTGCGAATGTACTCTCGCGTTTCATATGCAAGTCATAAGATTTTACAAAAAAGGGACGAATACATCGATAATATCAGGTCGCCTTTTATTACTCCGGAAGCTTCCGACAAGCCTTTCGTCGTTTATCTTGGCGTGTCAACTACAGTCGGCGCTTATAGTCTGTAGTAATATTACGAGTATTTATCGATATTATGCCGTATATTTATTTCTAAAATAAAAATAATCGCTATTGCATTTTATTGCTTGCTACAATCGTGTCGTGAGTCAATCGCCGACAACAAGGCGACGACGTTAAATGTCCTAGTAATAAATAAATTCTACGAATACACGTGTCACGATGTGGCTAAATTAAATATTAATCAAATTGGCCTTGATATAACTGTTTCGGATTGCACTGAATAATTTCTCACGAAAAAATACTGTACGGTTTCTATGCGTTATTTGTTGTAACATTGGCTCAAAATTATCGATTCAAAATTTTCAAGAAGTTTTACATTATTTTATTATATAGTTTAAAAATTTTAAAAGAATAGAAATTGATATGCAAAAGGTATATTTCTTATAGACTTTTGATATCATAATGATTGAAAATATTTGATTCATTTACTATTTCATTTTACATTCATTTAGACACATAATTTATTTAGGCTTAATCCATTCTTCAGATACTGTCAACAGTAAGATAATATTATTATTTATAACATTATTATGTTGCCAACAATAAGCTAATATTACTTACTAATATTATTTTTCGAAATGTTAATTTCGAAACGATAATTTGAAACCGAAGATAAAATGTATGTATGTATGTTATATGTTGTTCGTCAATCAGAGAGAGAGAGATAAGAAACTGAGCTGAAAATATTTCCTTAAACAATCGTTCTCTTCTTTTTTCTACAAACAATTAAGTTAGAACATATATCGCATTATATGAAAAGCAATTTGTCAGGATGTAATCGTGGGAGCTTTATATTCACCAGAAAGTTTTCGACAGAGATTTGCAATGGAAACAGTAGAAACGGCCTTACGTAGTCAGACGCGACGGGGTAAAGTTCGTTGTCGAAATTGCCCAAAGGGTCTCTCGCTATTGGCTTTGCAGACGTACGGCATACGCAGGGGTGTCAGTATCTACGCTAAAATACGTAACGAGCTCTCTCTACGGTTCGGTTCACCTTAATTTACGCCTTAATTTCCCATGGCACCGCGAGCGCTCGTTCGAGTCGATTTCGCGGTTCGGGCAATCAACCTAAGGATGAGATTTCACGTAAGGATATATTGTTACATCACGTAACCTCATATTTTGTCCTATTGTGTTATATTATCGAACATATACAGTTATTATATCCGTTTATCACTATTTATCACTCGAATCGTTCAATGATTTCTAAAATTAAAAATTGATGATATCGTGCATTTTTATATGATTCGCACTATGTAAAAATTATGCATTATTTCGTGCGTATAATTTACGGATGGATAAATTATATCAATATTCTCTACGAAGCAATACAAATTAAGTTGGCGAATAAAATAGAAAACTTCAATTGTAGAAAAGTCATAGATCCGATCGATAATTTTATCGTTTATAGTTATAATTTAAGATATAAAGCTCGCGTGACGACAGCGTGCTCTTATTTCTGCCGCCGTAGTATCTCAACGCGACCACCATCGCTTCCGTGGATTTTCGCACGTCCGATCTCTTCAAAATGAGACGGACAGATTTTGCAAACAATCAGACGAAAGTTTAGACTCACGGTGATTAAGCGTAAGCGAGAATCTCTTGGTACGAGATGGCGTGAGGTCAATCGTCTCGTCCTTCGTTTTCTCGTTACCGAGAGTCTAGTCCGTCAGCCTGTTCGTCTTCGGGACAATACGGCGTCACATGCAACCGCAAGCTTCCACCGACATGTTCGGTAATGTTTTCTGCGTGATCGTGTTGTTCGTGTCGATGTAGAGCAGCTGAAGCGGGGCGAGTTGCGTCGGCGAACAGCAAGGCACTATTTTGCTCCTCTGCTGGCTTCCATCCTTGGTCAACAACTTCTATAAGAAGAAGTAACGCGTATTTTCGTGCTTAATAATTTGTGAGGATAATTGCGATTTGAATCGGTAAAATGAGTTTATCATTGATATGCTATTTCCAAATGCTTTTAAAAAATAAATAGAAATATACTTATTTGAATAAAGAATATGAAAGAAATTTTTGGAATATTTTATAGAAATATGATAAAAAGATTCGAAACTTTCTTTATTATTCGTTTTTTTAATTTACAGAATTATTCGATAATTTACAGAATTATTCGATTTTTTAATTTACAGAATAATATAATAATATAATTTATTATTCGTTTTTTTAATTTACAGAATTATTCGATAATTTACAGAATTATTCGATTTTTTAATTTACAGAATAATATAATTTCGTTAGCAAATTAGAAAAAGATATATGAATATAATTTTTTAACAATTGCTTAAAATTATAATTACAAATTTTATTTAATTTTTGCAATAGTAATTTAGATAATCAATATTGCTCTTATGTCGGAAGATAACTTTAAATTCATTATTAAAAATTTAACTATCAAAATTGAAATAAATTCTGGAATAGATTTTAATCATTTTTGCACGAGTGACAGTGCTCGGTGTTTTAGTAGTGAGATGTTTTGCGAGAAATAGCAAGAGGGAAAACAAATGTGAGAGAAGCAGTAGAGAGCAAATGCCCTTCTTTTCAGTCACCCGCGGGCTACTGAACATAAGAAAATCATCTCCATTTCGCGTATGCAAACGATATTTCTCGCGTCACGCTTCGTATATGGCAGAAAGCATAGACGTAAGTTAATGGGGTTTTACGTTGCGTGATAATGGAGTCTTAACGCCCCATTATCGTTACGAGTTGCAAACTATATTACCCACGTTATGTGTCGCGAGTATAACAAGAGTGCCTCCTCCCGACTTTTATTAACAATTAATGCGGGTAATAAAGGACGCGGTTATGCAGCATGATTATATTTTTTTACGTTAAGTAAAGCATAAATTGGTCGTAACAGATAGAAAAGAATTATTTTGTTTCGTGTGAATATTTTTTATAAGACTGGAATTATAAAAAGGTTACGCGCGAAATTTTCCTTTCTGTTAATAACAAATTTTTATATTAAAGAAAGAACGTTTTCGATAAAATTTTCATTCAAGTATTACTTTATCATATATAAGAACCAAATTTGTAGATAAAATTCTGCTCAAGAGAGTTTAGAAGACGTTAATAATTTTCTAGAATCGAATAAAATAAATCTCTTAATCTGGAATGTTTTTCAATTCCAAGATTGTTATTGACAAATTAATACATCTTCGACGTATCAACGATATTTACTATTGGCAATATGCTTTATATAACGCGATACTATTGGTGAAACCACGGAGGAAGCAGAGACATGCAATTTTCGAAATAGCAAGAGACGCGTCGTCAGCGTTTTCTTCACGCCACTTCTTTTCGCAAAGAAAGAACGAATATAAATCTCACACTGACGACACATCTTCTTTCGCAACGCGATAATCGGTTGTTACGCATCTGCGCTGTGTACATCTGACATGAGCGAGATAAGAGATTGCCATGTTATATTTAACATTTAAAGATGGAATTTTTCTCCTTTTCTTCCTTGTTCCTTGTAAGCAACATGTGCAAATTTAACAATGTTATATTTAAATATTTAAAGATGGAATTTTTCTCCTTTTCTTCCTTGTTTCTTGTAAGTAACATGTGCAAATTTAACAATGTGGATAGGACAAAATATGCAATAACATAATCACATAAAAATTATCTAATTACTATCCGAAAGTTCTTATATTGTGTGAGTATTAATATGAGCCAAGAATAAAATAAATTTTTAGAAATATAAAATAAACTTTCATAATAAACTGAACGATACTGTATAATGAAAAATATATATTATAATGTTTAAAAAATAAGAAAAATAAAATAAAGTTCAGAACGGTATTTACATTAGGCGATTTTTATATACCAAATACATAGATAATCTCATCTCTTCGTTCAAATTTCAAATATTGAATTAAACACTTCTATTAAAAATTTAAATTTTGAACAAAAATCAAAATATCATTATATTAATTCAATCTAGCAGTTTTTGACATATTATTAATGTCATCATTAATACTGCTTGAAAGAGAAAAATATTTGCATCAATTAAATTATGTTTCTCTATCTATTTATTTTACTTTATTAATTTTCTCTTTAATTAATTTTCTCAATTTAGATCTGCGCGATTAAACATTAATTGAATCTTTGATCAATGGTCGAAAATATAAAAAGAAAGCGCTCACCATGATAACGTTGTTATAAGATGAACCGATATTAGTTAAGGATGTTGCTGTGGAGCAAGATCCTCGACAAAAATATGCATGATATCCGCTCGGATGAAGGATCCAGTCGCCCCAGCCGATATCTCGAAAATTAATATAAAGATCTTCTCGGCAGCAATCCTTCATGTTAGGCAGGCAATCCGAATTTCTTTTGGGCCTATTCCTCTGCGGTAACGGCTCTGTATGAATCACCAAGAACGGCTTCAGAGTCTGTTCGATGGATACCGGCGCAACATCGTAGTCGGTCGAGCAAGTGGTGCAAGCTATCTGAATGGCATGCTTCAATCGGAGTCGACTTATCCATTTTTTTACTATGAATTTTACGTCTATTTTTACCCAACCCTCTAGAAAAAAAAGATCGATAGTGATATATACGTTGCATGATGAATACAGGGAAATTCGTTGGAAAATCTAAAATTTTGTAAAATACATTCTATTTTAAATTAATTAAATTATTCCAAGTAATTGAAAGATAAATTTTTGTTTATAAAAATCAAGCTGCTTTATTTTTGCAATAAGTTTTTACTTTTTCAACTTTTTATTTGTTGAATTATCTTAGAAAATTATTGCAATTTTATATTATATATTAATTATATAATTTATAATTAAATTAATATATGCAATTTTTTGTCAAGATTATTAAATAATACTTTTTTAAAATAAAGACTTGAATTTTACTGAAAAAATATTAATAAAATACTAGTAAAATTCATAGTGTTAATCAAGATGAAAACCTAATACAAAGTAAATGATGTCAGTTATACAAAAGAATAATGAAACTTCTATCTCTTTAATTCACTTAAACATTATAAAGTAATAAATCATATTTACATTGTGATAATTTACTTATAATACGATACGAGAGGCAATATCAATATAGGAATGCTTTGTGTAATGCTTTTCTCGGCTTATTGTTTCTTCGGTCTAAAGTCCTTAATACTGGGACTAAATAACAACTTTAGCAATCTTCAGCAAATGATAGGAACCAACATTAATTATTAAATAAATTCTTTTAATTACAATTTAGTCATAAATTTCTTTTCTCATATGCATATTTATTTGTGCTTATGTATCCATTATTCACTCCCCATGATTTTTAAATGTGATGATCACATTTTACCGTATAAATTTTCGATAATAAATCTTTATGAAATTTTACTTCAAATATTAAATAATCGCATCTCACAATAATAAATATTATAAATCGTTTCGCGATATAAGAAAATTATTTTTTTGTCATTCGATAAGAAACAAAATTGTGATGTGCAACGGAGGTCTGGTTCGCAAATGTTTGCAATGCTGTAGGATAACGAAATTTCTCTCAATGGAAAATTTCTGTATAGTATAAATTCGTGACTGATGGATGAATGAAAAGGGATGGGGGAGAGGAGATAAAATTCTATTCATTTTACATTTATTCACCTTTGATGTCGGTTTCGAATATTGCCAAGATGATGTTCTTTTCGAAGCTGCCGCCAAGATCCCAATGATCGAGTTCGGATAGAACGAAAGTTTGGTTGAGTTCATCATCGTTCTCGACCTGTTCCTTATAGAACCAGAGTTCCGCTGAAGTCACGTCGACATATAACATCTCGTTCGGCAGGTAAAACGTGAAACAGGCCGCCAAGTTGAAGTCTGTTATATGATTCCAGCTCTGACGGTATTTCATCGAATCGGCTACACCTGTAATACACGAAATCATCGGATTTCGATCGTTTTCTTGAGAGAATGTACTTGACTGCGAGATTTCACGCAAAGGGCAGAAAAGAAAATCCGATCGTAGATGATTTGAATTGACTTTCCTTACCAAATTCTTTGATTCTTGATACTTTGAGGTTCTTTTACATGAAAAATGATTTATTTTAAATAGGATATATATGAAAATGTTTCATTATAAGATTTCAGAAATATTTGTAAATGAACTTAAGATATTTGATGTATAAAAATATAATTTGGTAAATAATTAAAAAATAATTAAAAAATAAACGGAAGAAAGGAAACAGGAAATCTTTAATTTCTAAATCTTATTTATTAATTCAAAAATATCTTATTTTGAAAAGTTCAAAGATACATTTTTCTTCGCGTAAAAATAGAAAATTAAGGAAGAATTGTTTTTCAAAAAAAGAAATAATGAATATGCATTATCTTCTTTTTATCTTATCAATAATTTTAATATTTTTTATTTAATCTGAAAGTATCAGATAGCTATCCGGTTGTATCTTCTTTATGAACGCGTATTTACGAGCTATCCTATTACAAATTAATTTAGTATGCCAACGAACGATATTAAAGACTCGGTTATTTGAGACTTTTGAGAGTATGCCTTTGACTTTGCGCGATCGGTCTGCAATTGAGGATGATACTCGAAGTAAGCCTCAAATGGAACCACAATTATCTGGAAAAGTGCGCTTTAAAAGGCTCTCGATAAAGCCGGATCAAAGTGTGGCAAAGGATATTTCTGAACGACCATGTGCGATAAGTGAGTGTGAATTTAAACAAAATATCGGTAATTGGATTATCCACATGCAAGAAAAAAATTCCATTATTGAATTATACGGAGAGAAACAAGATATTTAATTATCCTTAACTATTTATATTTATATTTTATTTATGATTATTAAGTTATTTGTTTTTTTATAATATACATAAAAGATGAATTTTGTAATTTATTATAATAGAAAATCTATTGAAATTATTAAGTATTTCAAATAATTATTAAGTATGTCAAATCAATACTTCTAAGTTACTTTTTAAAATTCTTAATACTATAGAGATCGCTCTTTTGGACAATTTTTAAATTAAATTAAAATCATTGATCTCCGATAATAAAAATAAAATTGACGTGATTTTATGACTTGATCGATGTCGATTTCAGTAGGGACCCCGCGATATAACGCGCTATCAAGCACGTCGAAATTATTTCCGAGCGGATTCTTGGCCGATCAACGTCGTAACCGATTGATAGCCAATTTCGCATGATTTATAGCCATGGATTATACAACGTCAGGTATTAGAGTGAATCCGTATCGTTTCACATAACATGTGCCGAATATCAGTAGCAGTATATCTGCATGTGCACCATATTTTTCTTGGTGTATATCACGCATTTTTTTCATTCACATGATACACACATGTTTATTGCATCCATCGAGAAGAGAATAATATTGACACAATTCGTAAACACATACGAACATCCCCGGAAATCCTAGAGCTTTTTTTTGTAAAAATAAAAAATTTATCAAATTATTAAAAACAAATAATTTTTAGAAATAGCATAACAAATTTTTAACAACATAACAATTTTTACGGAGATATAAGATGTTAATCGGAATGTAAACAACTTTCTCAAACTAAGAAAAGTACAACTGACAATCATATAAATGATGCAAATTACCGCTGTCAGTAAGTTATTGATAACATAATGATTGTTAATAAATGTTCAATTAAGCACAGCATGATAATATTCTCTTTATTATTCTATTACGTTTAATTTATGTTATCGACTTTATTAATTGGCAGAACATTAATTCCAGTAAATTAACTCATTTGCAAATTATCATACCATATATGAAATCTCGTTGATTTCGTGAAACGTTAAAAATTTGCTCTTATATTGGTTTTCCTTCGCTTATTTTCAAAGCTTATAAGTTTTACATTTACACATGCGATTTCCGGATCGAGATATTCGTGGAACGGATTGCGACATATCAGGATATACTCGAGCGTGAACTACTTTCTGATGTCGCGAATTCGACAGTGCGATGAACACTTCCGGTTCATTGACCTCGACCATCATAATCTGCAGCTTTCGCGCCGAAATCGCTGGGGGTTAACGAGGCCAAATGTTCCGCGCCAATATTACGACTTATGTACATACGTGTGTGCATGTGATGCGCCCGCGTTAGATTCGTGTTGGAATTAGATAAAAAACGAATTGGACTATATCGGAACAGTTTGTGTAATTTTTATATCGGAGAGGAAGATATGACATATATGTAATGTCGTGTCATTGGGCGCCAGTGACTGCGGGCTACAATTAATATCATATCTATATCGCGAGTGTCGAGAAACACAATTATACATTTTTTTTAAATCCAGTATTATTGCGAATAAATTTAGGAAACATTCGTTAACAAATTGTGAATAGCGAAGTCGCAAATTAATTTTAACATTTTAAATTAAAAAGAAAATGTTTAATTTCTAAATTTGATTAAATTATTTAAAGAACAGAGAAATCGATAGCGTAAAATGTCTGAAAAAATAAAATGAATGGTTAAGTGAGAAAATACACAAAATCAAAATGCGATCACAAGACCACAAAGAAATGTAGATTTTCTTTCGAGCATATTTGACTATTATAACAAACTAGTCAGAGACATATGAGACTGAAATTTTAAAAATTTATAATGAAATTTTGCTTCCTTATTTTTTTCTGCTAGATACAAATATACAAAAAAGAGAAAATAGAGAATTATAGGTATAATATAATAGAAGATAAGAGATATGTTTGTGTTCCAGAATAATAAAAGAATTATTGATTTTTATTTGAAAAATTGTATCATTGAGTCGACGATTTTGTTAGAATCACAATCGCGTGCGCGAGAAATATCGCGTAAAAAGTGTGGAAAAAAATTTGAGGCACTAATATTTAACATATTCGTGCAGCCAATGAACCATTACATTATCCATTATATTATCGTATTCTTGCATTCCGTGGCAAGAAATTACGTGTTCGTAAATTATGCATTCGTTGGGAATAAAATTGCATGACATGGTAAAATGTCAAAATGAAAGCAGCTGACTTGAAATATAAAAACTTTTGCGTGATGTATATATGTACTTGCCTTTATCGTTTGAAATTTTTAACCGTTGCGTGGTAAAAACGTAGGCGAAAAGCTGCGTTGATTATCTACTCGATTTTTCGTTGTTCTGATCTCTTATACGATTGAGAAAATTCCTGGAATAACATAGCTCCGCGAACAGGACGAGTTATCAAGAGAAAGGTTTCTTTGTGACTTTAAGAAATTCACCAAGCCTGTCAAAAATGATTCACACGGGCGATTAAAACGTCGGAACCGTGATTTCGCAACGTAATTCGAGATAAATTTTCACCGCGCCACTGGAATTTATACGTGCGTCATTCGCGCGGTTTCCGTATTTGCATCGCCGCGGAAAATTTGAAATTCATGGTCTCAGTCGGTCGTCGGTGGTACCTCTAGAAGTGCCGTGAGAGAGAAACGCTGTCATTGTTACCGGTTCTCGTTTATTTCGAGAGAGCCGTGCAATTACGCAATATTCATATCCCCGCCGGTGTTTCTCGTCTGACTGGCCAAGAAGGGGTTGTCGAGAGGAACGGCCAGCCAGCTGTGAAGAGAAAGAAATAAGCTTTTCGGTGAGGTGAGCTTTCGATGCAAGACGGTCAACATCGCGTGTGAATATGCTGCGCGAATGTAAAATTAAATGTTGGATGATTACGCAGAAAATATAATATTCAGTCTCGCAGTAACTTAGAAGTCGTGTAAAGAGATTAAAATTCAAAACTTTTAAATTTTAAATAATTTTTCAATAATATTTGCTAATACAAGCAATTAATCACAATAATTTTTTTGCATCTTAAAATTATTATTTTAAAAAAATTATATAAACGAAAAATTATGTACGCAAGTTTATTTAATAATTTAATAGTGCATTATTTGGTGGATACACATTATTGTAATTTATTATAAATTTTCTCATCGTATCGATAAATACTCGGATGTATTTCTAATACAATAGTTCATTTTCAGATTCACTTCATCTATACTCCCTCGAAAAAGTGCATACGCTCGATATTCATTTTATTTCGCGTTCGAGTACTATGAGAATGACGCACGCTCAATATTCGCGATTGATGTGTATTTTCTCACATATTATTCATCCTTCATTTTTTTCTTTTTACAAATCGAGCTTGAATAACTGTTCATTAGCAATCTACGTATTCTGCCGAATATTTTCGCAACAATCTGCATATAACTATGCAAACAATATTTTTAAAATCTTTCACAAATTTATATTTATGTAATATTTCGATTCCTATTAGACGGGAGAAAGTATAATAAATTTTCTTCTATAAATTTCTTCAATAGTTTTTTGTAAAATTATTAAAATATAAGAAATTTATCAAGATAATTTTTACATTTTGTCAAATATATCTTATAATCGCTTAAACTGATTTTATTGCAATAAAGATCTACACTACATACTCCTTTCTAAAATCTTTCTTTCGAGCAGCAGGAGAATATATATATATATATATATATATATAATTATTTCGTTAAATAATTTTTTTGTGTACCAATTCCAAGATTAAAAGAGATATCACGAATTAAATAAATTGTTTATTTCGACTTGTCAAAATCGTACCTTCGTTCGGAAATACGATGATCCGGTTAGTTTTCCCGTAAAAGTGTTCCGTTTTTTCCTCGGGCGGCGCCCCGGGTCGAAGTTCAAGCACATTGCCGTTTATCAAAGGTTTCGGCAAGGTCGACAGCGGCATCGAAACGTCGGGCGGTTTCGATAGCCGCAGCTTCTTCAGGATCTGCTGCTTCACGTACTCCACTCTCAGCTCGGTCAAGAACAGGTCGGGATCGATTATGCTGACCTTATTCTGCGCACAATCAACGCAGTCATTTTCTTTACTAACCAACGATTCGGACGATGAATGAGGAAGGAACGTATACCATACTTTCATTAGTGGATTGGTCATGTTTGACCAGTCGGCCATAATGCCACCTGCTAGAAGAATAATAACGAACTGTTTGAGTAGATGCATCTTTCTACGGCAATTCAGACAGTGATTGATCCAAATTGATTCTTTTTTAATTCGTTTCCTTCTTTAACCGATTTTTAATGTTTCGATTTACAATGTTCTAATGACACTATTTCGTTGACACTCAACTTGTTGGATGCCGAATTTAACCGGCAGTATATATTCAGTGACATTCAGTGGCTTCTGTATATCATCGAGAAGATATCTTTACCGAATATTTTATCGGCGATTTTTATAAATCTAAAAATTATTAGAATCTTCCATCGGATGATCGGATGATTTGACTTTGATACAAGGGTATTTCACACCAATATAATATGTATAACACATAATATGTAACTTTTAACATCTATTATGTCGAACTTTGAACTAATTTTTTAAAAATCTTCTTTCTTCTGGAAACTCCAATACGCCACACAATTGCGTAATAATATATCAATCTTATTTACAAAATTGCAGCAGGTTAGATGGGTCACTACAATCAGCGATAATATCTCGCGAGATTGCGATTCCGGAACTGTATTATAGCCGATTATAGCTTTATTCTTCTGATTTCTTCAAGCACTATTATATTTTTGCATTCCAAATATCAACCTGCAGAGTCGGCAGCGACTTTTATACGAACGTGGAAAAAGATCGACATCCGAGCGTATCGTTGATTGATTCACGAGAACGATTTTCCTCCGAGTTGACCGACGTCTTCAACGACGCGTTCATGGCGACTGGAGGTGAATCGTTACGATGATCCGGTGATGTAGTTGACTCTGCAGAGGCTGCATGAACTTTGCTCCGTAGTCGCCGGGACCAATACGGATTGGATGAGGGCGAGAGCAATGCTGATATCAGCGCAAGCACGCGCCGCGAACATGCTGCCGATGAAATGGTGGTTCATTGGCGATTCCTGAAATCTCGAGTCTTAGTAGGTTGGAGTTTATCGATGGTTGCTCTGATGGAAGGTATCTCGCTCGTTGATTGGCATCTTAATAAACCATAAAGGATTTTTTCTCTCAATAAAATCAATGTAGTTCTATATTACGAAGCGAAATAAAAAGTGTATACCAGTGATGAAATATTTTAAGCTTCTTTCGTAAATTATTTATATAGAGATGCAAAGCACATATCTTCAAAATTGCATATATACATTAATTTGTATCTTATTTTTATGACAGATAAAATTAATCCCTTTTTTTAATAGATACATTTATAAATTTAAAATAAAATTAATATTTAATATTCAAATTAATTTGGAAACTATTATAATTTACAATTATAAAAAAATATAATATTCAAATTAATTTGGAAACTATAATTTACAATTATAATAGTTTCCAAATTAATTTGAATATTATATTTTTTTAAATGTCTTTATTATTGATTTCCAATTTTAATTTTATAATTTGTCACTGTAAAGTTATCAAGACTTAATAACAATATTTTCTGAAATTATAATTATTTCTCTCTTGGAATTTAAATTCGAATAGTAATAAAATGACGAATATTCATATTGCTTGATTACATTCATTTGAATGCGCTTGTAAGTCAGGAATGTTTACCACAAAAAAACTGACACACGCTACGTCACAGATTAGTGTCAGCGTTTCTTTAAGCTGAGGCCTGCAATTCGTTCATCGGTGCGCTCACCTCGTCTCTCGTGAAAGATGACCCATCTCGTTGACCCAAAAACGTCGAATATTTATCTTTTTTTTTAAAACGTTCACAAGCGTATTTAAAACATCGCAAATGCGACGAATGCTTTTTGAGGCGCCAAGATTATTTATTTATTGAGCACAACAAGTCGCAATCTCTTTCGATAGCGATACTTTACTGGGAAATACGTTTGCGTTTCAATTTCGTGCCTTTAATGAATTATGCGATAACAGTTTGTATAAGAAAAATAGCATTCGCAAAAAAAACATTATATTAATATAAGCGCCTCAATATTTCTTACTGTCCGTCATAAATAATTATGATAAATGCAGTCTTCCTTACACGTCATATTTCGACATTTGAATACTAAGTTTTTTTCCCTCATAATCGTTTTGTTAATTCATCGAACTTTATAATTCACAAATTGTATGTGGCCCAGCACGTTGAATTATTTTGTAATTTGCGCTAGACATGGAGCATGTAATCAGCAGTTCGCGCACGTCGCGGTCATTTGCAGAATCGCGGTGCTTGTTTGCGTTATCTTATTATCGGTATTATCAAATGTGTAATTTTTCGAACTGATTTACGCGCATACATAATATCATCATTCAAATAATGTATAGTAATATTTTGTTTGTCATTGCATAGGGGAAAAAGTTTTATCTAATCTCAACAATATGGGAACATGACAAATTTTATCGATAAAATATTGACTATGCTTTCATATATATATATATATATATATATATATATATATATATATATATATACACACACACATATAAAGCAAAAGTAAAAATTCATAAGTCTTTTTTAATATTATATTCATTTATGTTAGATACAACAAGTAGAGAAATAAAAATTTTAATTCTCAAAATTATATACATGATTCTACTTAATTAAAAAGAAAATATACAATATTTATAAATTTATTATAACATACAAGAAATATTCGAATATAAGAAATGTTTTTATATTATTTTGTCATTACTCTTACGTATAACATAGTATAACATAATAATTTTCCCTTATTTTAAGTATTTTTGACATATAACAAGATTTGACATATAACAAGTTTTTTCCTTGAGTTACCTTAAATTACATGATATATTCGCGAGTTTAATAATGAATGAGGAAGAGAGAATTGTCGGGCGATCTTTTGTTGTAAACTTTCCGGGGGATTTAATTTCCGTCGCGTGTAACAGGAACGATCCGCAGTGTTTAACGCGATGTCATCAAAGGTAACGGATTTGATGCGAACCAATGGCAGCGCAAAACTTTGTTGTTGCGTGGGCGACAGTAATTTAAAATCGCCGTCAGTTATGGGCTAACGCCTTCTATAATGAACAACGAAGCAATAATGGATAATTGAAGAACTAGTCCTGCTCGCGGCTATCTCGCGTTGAAAATTGATCATTTCACACAACAATGTTTGAAACATATAAACAAAACTAGAAATGTTTCTGCATTGTTTTGTAGAATAAAAACAAAAATAAAATTTACATGAAGCTCTAGTAAAATTACTATTATTTATTTTAAGTCATTATACTGTGGATAATTAAGCTCTAAAATAAAAATAAAAACAGGATGTGAAAAAGAAAGAGAAAGATAAGATGAGTTTCTATGATTAAAATAATTTTGATAAAATATGAGTATTCCTTCTCTGAAAATGTTTTTCTTCTTTTTTTCTAATTTAGTTTTGAAATAAAATTAATATATGCTCTTGCTTTTTTCTTTAAAAAACAAACAAATTGGATTCATAAATGAACAGACAATGATTACAATTTTGAAAAAAAGAGCAAATTTTATGCAATGTAAAAGCGTAAAACCAAGAAGATGATTATCCATTTTATCATGTTTTTTTTATGTTTGCAAAAGTAATTAAATAATTAAAGTTACATCTTCTTACGTCCGAAGATCGTTTGATTGTTGTCATCTTCATGTAGAAAGATTTTGACAAGAAATCATATTTAAAGGAGAGAGACACTTTGCATTTAAATCTGATCAATATCAAAAGAGAACTATAATGAACTCCTTTAACAGAATTATATCTAATATAATATTTATACTGGAATATCGCTCTTCTGTTTTGTTTCTTTATTTATCATATACATCATTTATTTTAAGTAAACATTTTATAATATATTAAATTATTATAAATTTTATTTAATATGGTGTATAATATGATTTTACACGAGACATATACATATTTATCTTTTATATTTATTTTATTTATATTATTTTTTTATATTTTTCTTTTACATATTATTTTTGTATTTGATAGTTTATAATATTATTTATTTATATCCTTATTGAAACTGATAGGCAGTTACCAAACAAAAAAATATTGAATTTATTAAAAATATTGAATTAGGCGACTTCAACGATTTAATTCAACTCCATTTGACTGATGAAACATTTTGCTGGACTAGTAATATCGCCGTGTTTCCAAATGAACGGCTATGAAGCGGCTACGACGGTGCAGAACATGAAACACACGCTATCGTTATTTTCACGAGGCGCAATTTATTGCCCTTTACGGTTTACGAACATGCGGGTGTGCAAGAGGCTGCATTGGCGCCCTCGACATGCATCGGGGAGCGTAGCACCCCCTTTGTGCATTTCGCGGTCGGAGTTCGATAAATATTCACTCGCACGGCGGGTGGCTTATCTTCTCTCGATGGCTGTAAATGCGATTTATCGACGAGTGTTTAGATACTCGATTCGAGAAGAGATGACGGACGCGCGGCTGAGAGACGCCATTGTAACGTTCGTCCTCGGGATAAGGATGCTCCTTCGTGGAGGATCGTCGCGACGATCGTGCGTTGTATTTTGCTGTTGCGTCGAGATGCGACGAGAAAATCCATCGAGCTCTTCGTTCACCGGAAAATCGTTTATCGCACCATATGGACGCGAGCGAAAGAACAGAGCGTTCTCCTCTCCCTTTCTTTCTCTTTCTGTCTCGCATATCTAAGCACGCTTCCCGTCACACCGTCGTTCCAGACGATCGATCTTTGAATCTCGCTTACGTGCGCTTGTCGGCTTAATCGATCTTGCCTCCATAGGAGACTAAGTTTGCGTCGTCTCGCATGCTTCTCACCGTTTATTTACCTGGGCATTAGAACGTACCCTGTATATATCGTGATTGTTTACAGTATCGCGACATCCATATTTTATCAGTGAATCAACGTTATTGAGCGTTGTTCCTCTCGAAATATGACTTAGAAAATTTCTTCAGCGAAGATTTCTTTGTCATAGTACAATTTTATATTATTTTAAGGTATATATACATACATAGATATTTGGAAAAAATCAATTAAATGATAAATAATGCTGTTCTACAAGATTTCGCTAGCGATCTTTATGCTTTATAGCAATAATAATGTTAATGACAATATGGTCCAAGTTTGCGGACATTGTTGTTTATATTGTGATATATGACGATGCTGTAATTCGTTATTCAGCCCGCTGTATTATTTCGATATATGTATGTGTACACGCGCATGCACGTACTTTGGACGCTCTTAAGGGACTCCCCGTCCTGCAGGACGATAAATTCTGTTGCTCTCACATTTTCCGTGACTCTTCGTACGTGCGAAGATAAGGATAAAGCGAACGATGAAAGCTCGCGGCATACTGAGAATCCTCGTTCTTATTTATTTTTTTCCTTTTTGTTGGCTTGCCATTCGTCATGTTGCCGCGCCACGCCAGGACGAAATAAAAACGTATTAGAAATGCCGAAAATAACCGCGAGTAACGTGAAAATTACGAGGAAACATCCTTGTCCTTTCGACTGTCGTCACGTAAATAAGATAAAAATTAATTTCTCGTGATATATAGAGCAATAAAGTCTTTTATTTACTGTAAAAGGTAACGCAATTACGTTAAATAAACTGGAATTATAATCAAATTAATTTAGATAAGATAGAAAGATATTTTGACTATCGAATAAATAATTATTAATACAATGTAGAAAATGAAAAAAATAATTGATGTAATTTTCGTATTTGTGAATATTTTCATTTTTTCTATTGTAAATTATTTGTTATTCATTTCTTGTTTAGCTTATAATAATAAAATAATATCTTTTGTATATTTACATTATCATAGATAAAAATTATTACATTCTAATATAAATCATTAAAAAAAACCTTACGTCAAGGTTAGAGAGATACATGACATTCGAGTCACGTGGAAACGAATCTAAGCAAATTGATCGGATCACTCGCAGTGATGTTAAAAGCGCGATTTTCCCATGGCGACCATCCACTTGTTCGCCTCCTTCAAGTTATTCCTGTCCTGGATCTCCCCGGAGAGGCGATGGAAGGCCGTGAGAATGAGAGATAAGGGCGATTAGAGCCGAGGAGACCCGGGCGAAGGAGAAGTAAGTTCGTAAATCAGGATGTTACTCCCCTTGATCCGATTACGAACGATTATATTCCGCGCGGAGTCTCCGCAAGAGACTCATCGTCGCGCTCGGGTCTTTCACAATAAGTCGACCGATTGCCTCGCGGCTTTTTCTCTTGCTATTTTTTCTCGTTGCCTTCTATTCCCGCTTTTTATAAAGATAGAGCATCGGTGACTTTTTCCACTTTGCCGGATATTTTTGCTCTATTAACGTATACGATGAAAATCATTTTTCATGTAAGTTTTTCTTCTTTTTCTAAAATTATTTTCTATTAAGTAACAGTATGTTTAAAAATATGTTTAAATATATATGTTTAAAAATATAATATTATACGATTATAATAATTAAGTACGCGCTAAAATTTGACGTCTCTATTAAAATGTGATTCGATTCTTCATTTAATCCTTTACATTCCTATAACTTTCTTCTGTGAGACGCAACTTCTTTATCTTTTCTTTAATGTCTTAAATTATTATTTAACGACCTAGAAACGCAAGCGATACTTTTAGCGACATTGAAAAAATATCGATTTTTAGTCATTATTTCACAGCACCATTAAATTTCGTTTAAATCCTTCTTGTTCGTATTTCATAAAAATCTTCTTTCAAGTACTTTTTTCTTAACATTCGTCTGTAAAAATCATCAGCAAACTTAACATCGATAAGTCGATCGATTAATTTCTATTTATTTCTCTTGAAAATTAAAATACGTATTATTATTATAGCGACAATTGTAACCGAGAATACTCTTAATAATTAAATTTATATATGATAATACCGTGCATATGCAGTTAGAATATATGTTTCTATCTTTTTTTTTTATGAAGATTACTAGTCTCTTTAAGTAAATATTATTCCTATATAAATATTATAATTTATGTAAAAAGTGAAATTTTGACAAATTTCAATTCACGTTCCGAGTAAGGAGACGAGCTGTATATCGAGCTGCCGATAGCAGCAGACTGTAGAATTTGTAGGACGAGACACGGCGGGATGCGTCGCGACATCGCTTAACAGATGGGAAACAGATAGAGATGTTGCCGGGTAACAATCGAGGATGTTGCCGGGACAGATTGCGCGCGTTGCCATTTGACGAACAATGAATCGCGGCCGACCTCCGAACAGAGAGATGGAATTTGCGTGGTCTCGGGGCTGCATGTGATATCGGAAAATCAGAGAGAGGGCTTTCCAAGCTGCGACAATACATTCCGAACATATTGCTCCTCGGGATTCTTTCCGTCGAGCTGCTGCATCGTCGTGTCGTATTGGATGTGCAATCGCTCGAATAAAGCTTTTATTTGTCGGGACGCGCCATTATTTGTACGTTTAATCACGGAAACTTATGAAACGAACAGTGGCAAGTTGCTAGAATTTTCTGCATATTTATTTTTTACGACGGCATAAATGCAAAGTGATTTTTCCTTGAGTTTTCATTAAATTTTGACAAAAAATATATTCGATATTTTTCTCCATATAAGAAATATTCCTCCTCTATAAACAGAAACTTTAATTATTGAAAAAGACGTAACTACTGCTTCCATCACGAAAGTCCATTTTTCTTCTACTTAAATCACGCGTACGCAAATCATTTGCGGGATGCGTCCCTGGATTTATGTCACCGTGCGGCATTATGCAGTTACGTGATGGTTTCGCCTGACATTGCGTCACGCGGTTAGCGTCCATCGAGTTCTACCTATCTACAGACATACAAATTGGTTCATCACTCTCCTCCTGTGTATCTCCCTCCCTCTCCCTCTCCCTCCCTCCCTCTCTCTCTCTCTCTCTCTCTCTCTCTTTTGCAGAAATGCCATGGTGATATGTCCCGGTTAGCCGTGTACTTCGTCTTCGGACAGAATTTTCGATCGAGCAAAGTCTCCACGTTCCTATCGTGCCGCGGTTGTACGGTTCGATTAAATTTCCCCGGGATCCTATGTGGTTACGGAAGTCTGGTATCTGGCATTCGAGCGTCCGTCCTGCGGTCAATGGCTGTTATGTAATAAATGTTCGGCGATCCTTAGTAATTACCCGAAGTTTAATCGTTCGAATACACGCGATCTTTGACCCCACTCCACGGTGAAACATCGGTAGAATTCTATCAGTGAGTAGAATTATTGAACCTATCACTTGTGCATATTTCTAGATCTTTTTCATTAATTTTTTATCTGTAAGAGTTGACAAAAAGTATCTAGAAAACAAATCAATTTATTTAATATTATCGGAAATAAAAGAGATCGCTGTAAACTCAAAATAAAATATTCTTTGTTCAGATATAAAAATATAATTATTACGTAAATATGTATGTGTATATTTTCCTAAGAAACGCAAATAAAAAAGAGAAAACCTGTTCGCGACTAAAAAGGAATGAATCTTAAACTTTGACATAAGCCGCATAGTTTGCTATGCCGCAAAGGTTTTTGTTTCTTGCCACTCGCATGTAGCCATCTTCTCCCCAATTGTCGCCCCACCAATTCTTCAGAATCCACTCAGTTGGCGTATATCCGACGATTAACATTGCGTGATTTACTGAATCCGAATCACATCGATGGTCGTCGTAGACGCCTTTACTGTGTACACAAGTGAAAATATGAATTAATCAATTAATATTTGAAAAGTTATTTTTTATAAACTTATATATCTAAAACGTGATAACTTTTGATATGTATAAATGTACGATAGTATTTATAATATTGTAGATAAGATATTAAAATTGAACGACTTGTTTGTGGCAAGCAAAATATCCTGGCGTCAAATCCGATACGCGAAATAAATATTGGAGAAGGGAGGTAAATATACATCGCGTGAGATCTCCAATTAGAAAATGTGAATCACCGACATTGAACTCACATGAACTATATGTACGCGATTATTGATGAATGCATCGTGTTTACATATATATATATATATATATATATATATATATATATATATATATAACGTATTCTTCTTCATCTGTTATAAACTTGCAATACAGCAAGTACCGAAAATGGCAATCGCGCTTCATGTAGTATCCTATCATTTGTCGGAAATTAATGGGATGACAGAAAGTAGTCACATACTTTAGATCCTTAAAAATGAAACAAGTTCAATGACTGAGTTTTAGTGTTCCGAATGAATGAGGGTCGTTATATTGGCGATACGCTAAAAGGTTATCATAATTTCTTCGGCGAGAGGTCCGGACAAAGTTTTCAATCTTGACATCTTTTGCATAAATATAGTATCGCCATTTCAGCTACATGTTAGTTGATTACAAATTGGATACAAATTAAATCGACGGTGATGTTTTCGCTTACGTATTTCGAGAAATCACGCTAATGTATATGTCGAGAAGATCGATAAAATGTTAACTAACTTATTTATAGTTGGATTACATTTGATTAGTTATCTGCGCAAGAAAAAATTGTTTGTCATTACCCTGCTCGAGTTATCAACATAATTTTTTTCAATTTACAAATACATCGTTTTGCCCTATCGTATTTTTCCTTCATGTATCAATCAATTGAGCCATAAATATCAAAAGTTATAGTAAATGCAAAACTTCTGTGGTTTTGCATTATAAATAGCAGGTGTGTGTCTGAAATTATCACGTATTTTTTGAACATCGCGATATGTTTATCGCGATTCACGAGTACGTCACTTGCTCGTTAGCAACAATTTGCACGGATTTATTTTTCGGAGCAAATAAAATGGAATACTAACTGATAGAGCTGAAATGTCTTCGGGCTGGCGTTTATAGACACGGCTATGGGACCGATGGTCGCTACTGCTGCTTCCAAAGCTTTTTCATCCCGTGCAGGCAAGATTGCCCATGACGTTATATTGACGACGCTCAGATCCCTTTGAAATCTGCATACTCCTTGCTGAAATAATTTAAGAATCACTAGACATAAATTTATTTAATAGAATAAATTAAATATATGATAGCTAATAGTTTAAATAATCAAATAATTTTTAATTACGATCTTTTATAGATCTATCTATTTATTTTTGCGCTACGAAAAAGCGGTCATTTTTTAAATCTTTCGAGCAGTTTGAAAAATTAATTCTTGCTCTCAAATAATTAATTATCTTATCATCGCATAGAATTATTATTGCAACAATTATTTTCGTTATTATTGTTATATTAGAATTAATATATAAAGATATAAGCCGTGATGAAAAATAATTTTCTAAGAAAAAAATGTACATAATTATATCATATATCACTGTACATAATTATATCATATAATCTTATATCACTTATTTCATTAACTGAATTTGTTTACAATCAAATACCTCTTTCCTCCTCGATTAAATTTGAAGTAATAGACACATAAATCGGCAAACATTTAAATTTGATCCAACGAAATATATAATCAATAAAGTAATATCATCTAATTAAAGAAAACAAGTTTAATATGAAAAGATTGACAATCAAGAAGCCCGGGAGAACTTTGCCCATCACGTTTGTTGACACTGTTAAATTGAAGCGTGTCTACCATACGCTAAATACTTTTCGGTTGCATCATCTGAATTCCGTCGTCAACATGTCGTTGTGTTAAATTAAGACAACTCGTTCACAGATAAGCGCGTCTTCTTATTGCGCGATTTAACGAGTAATAATCACTACTTTGTTAAATATCTACGAAGCATATGGCCTTGATGTGCGATATTAATGTAGAGAAGGAGCTGACAAGACTATCGTCATATATATTACAGAAGACTACTCATGACTGGCATAATTTAGATCTTTGTCTTCGAAATCTTCCATAGATTTTCTAATATTTCCGACCTGAGAAAATTCACGAAATAATGGAATAAACCTTGACTTCTTTATTGCGATAATTAAATTCACACTGTCAGTATCTTCGCTCATAGTCGCTAATAATATATTATTACATATTATGGCCAGTAAAAAAAGCCAAATATCGAGTTTATCAATTCATTAAAATTTTAAATATGACCATTCAATAAATTATTATATATAGCTATAATTAATCATCATGAATTAAAAATACATCTTGTGCGGGATTATTAAAAATAAGAAAGCGATAAAATGAAAAAAAAAAGACAGATGAGATAGAGAGAAGGAATTTTTCTTTTCTTTGAATTCCAAAGCAAATGTTTTATGACGTTTTGCAAATCATGCACGAGCAATTCGCTACATTTTATATACACGGTGCTCCGACGGAATATCTAGTCGTATGTTCGACAAGTGGAAAAAATGCGTACCTCAGCGTTGTACGGATACAGGTATCCGGCCATGAGACCCTTCGACTTTTCTAGATATTTCAAAGTGTTCCTAAGGGAACCGCCGATGCAGCCACGGTTCCCGGTTACCGTGCTGCAATCTACCAACTGTTGTGCACTCAAGGGGAGCAGCATGCCGGTTTGCTTAAAAATCTGTCCCTGTATACTTTCCACGATCGAGTAAGCGTAGCAACTCCCACAATTCTGTTGGTTCACTGGCAAAGTGATGAAGCCGTATTCGCGCCAATCTAAATGCTTTGGTATGTGAGGATTGTGAATCGCCGATACCATTGGTTCGGTTGGCAATCGACGCCTTTGACTCGGTATCAGTTTCACCTGAAGGAAAAAATGTGATCAGATCAGATTTTATTTATTATTTTTAAATATCGATAAATTTATTTCATATAATATTTGCGTAATAAAGAAAATTGCAATTTTTAAGAATTTGTTATTTGAAGTTTAATGAGAAAAGGAGAGAAAGAGAATCTTTTTGTAACAAAAATTAATATTAAAGATCTTGAAATTTGACTAGAATTTTGTTTTTCAAAAATGTAGGCTCATTAGAATTACCAACCATATTGCGAATGTATTGTCGAGTGCTGAGATCGGCAATATGATTATCCCGTAGAGTGTAACTATGATGTCCCGCGGCGGCCATTAGGTTGTGTTTATAAATCTCCACGAGGTTTTGTTCCCATGCCGTTCGCCTCGTGTTTTCCAGATTTCCCGTGTACGTTTTATTAAACTGCATCTGCTCATAAATATCGTGAAAACAATGACTACGCTTCCATTAATCTAGTTTATTAACATCCGTAGAGTTCTCACTACTGATTTAAAATATCGTGTAAATACTAATTTATCTCCGCGTTATAACAATTATTACAATGCTTTTGTATAAACTAACATTAGATATTAGTTTAAACTGTGATTTACACATTATAACATTATAACAATTATAACTGCTGATATTACATATACTAGAATGAAAGCGTCATATATTGACATCAGATGACTTGGAGGCATTGATTTCTGACGTATATTGCGATGACCTTTTTTTTTATGTCAATTTCTTTTTGTTTAACAATTATTAATCCGCGAGATGTACGCAAATGTATGCAGCTTTGGAAACGCTGTTTTAACGCTTGTTTTATATAAAAGTATCGTTTACAAGATATATATATTTTTTGTTATTACACCTTAAGTTAAAATAATGTTAGTATTTTTAATTTTGATATAAATTTTAATACATACATATATAAGAAAAGTTAAGGTGTTGTACATATAAACTTAAATAAAAATTAATTAGTAATTATAATAATCATAAAAATTAATTATGCGACTATATAATTTTAATAATAAGTTTAAAATTACTTTTTAAAGAATTACTTCCATTACATTCAATAGGAAATAATAACGATAAACTAAATATTCCAAAGTTTATAGCTTCTTCGAATGTTTTGCATTTTAAGATTACCTTGTAGGTTTGCCAATAATCATCCAGTTTTTTCGAGATTCTTGGCGGTAAAGTGTCCTCATTGAACGGTTCAATCGCATGTGTTTCAGACAAAATTAATATCGAAAGTAATATAGCGTATAATCGCGAGCACATGGCGACTCGCAGAATAATTTATAGTTCTTAATTAATTTACGCGACAGATCCGAGTAATGATGATTTTGACGATCTTTACGATACTGTATGAGGTCATAATACCGTTGCAGTATCATACAATTGATGTCAGCGTTGTTTACAGATTACATCATCGAATAATTATTCGCATTATGCTGATACATGTTTATTTCGCCAAATATGTGCGTCTGTGCGTACAATAATATATTTTTGGCCGTTTCTCTTTTCGAATTTATTTTTTTTTTTAAACAAACAAATTCGTTTGTTTTTAGATCGAGAATTTTAGTATAGATAATTCAATAGTTTTTAGAATAGTTACCTAATTTGAAAGAAAAATACTTGCAGTTATGCTACGGCATAATTTGAGCTAAATACATTTTTCCGAATATTAGTTTAAAATAGAAAATAGCTTTTATTTATCTGTAAATTCACCGCGAAAATATACTTCTACTAGGAATTATTATAAAAGTTTAAAAAAATATATCTTGCTAGTAATTTGTAATTTCCTAAAGTTCTAATTTTTAGTGTTCTTCAAAATATCGAATCATGCATTCGTACTAAAAATGATTAATCGATATAATTTAATTATGTAATTAAAATTTTTAATTTTTTATTACAGATCTTCTACTTTGATTTTAAAGACTATATTCTAATATTTTAATTAATTTGTATATTAAGTATAAAAAAGGCAATTTTTTTCTATAATACAAATTCCAGAAGAAGTTAATCATTTTCTCGATTATTTATAACATTCATCACAAGAATATATTAACATCAAAATATTTAACATCAAAATATTAAACTGCATTAGATATATATATCGCTTAAGAGATTTTTGTTAATATCACGGGCAAATCAACGTAAACATACTCGATGAAAGAGCGATCGAAAACATCGAGAGGAAAGCGTCGTGCGATCATAATTGATTGTTGATGGTTATTGTTTTCAACGTGTCGCGTCACACAAGGTCATCGCGAAGCTAGTCGCCCACGCGGAGCTTTCCACTTCAAAGATCGCCGGCGGCCGGCCGCGAGATGGCGATAGTCATAAGTCAGACGCCGCCGCTGTCGCCGCCGCCGCCGCGACGCCTCTGTGGCGGTCCCGGCGGACAGGCGGTCGCGTAGTATCGATACACACGCGCGTCATGCTTGTCTCGTTCGCGCGCTTCTTCTTGTGAAACGTCGTCTTCGTCGTCGTCGTCGTCGTCGCCGCCAGTGCTGGATAAATCGCGAGGAACGCGCGCGAAGGGGCGATGGAACGCGCGTCGCAACCGAAAAGGAACGTGACGGATCGGCGCACGCGTGCACGCGCGACCGTAATCGCCAACGCCGACAAATCGCGCGAAAATTCTTGACACTTCCGCAAAATGGGAGTTTCCTCGCGGTGCTCGTGATCCACCAGAGACGCGCCGTGACGATCCATCTCCCATAATCTCCTTCCCCTCCCTCTCTCTCTCCGGTAATCTCATCGATTTGCGACTCTCTTCTCTTGAGAGAGAGAGAGAGAGAGAGAGAGAGAGAGAGAGAGAGAGAGAGAAATAGAGGGAGAAAGAGAGAGAAGGTTTCTTCTTTTCATTCCTCTCTCCGCGTACGTTCATTATCCCCCTTTTCACGCGGGTCCCTCGTTATCGCTATCTTGTAGCCTCGTACGAGGCGCGTAGCGTCGCGCCAGCTCCGCGAAACTTTCGAACGCGCGCGTTCGGCCCGGTCCGCCGCGATTCGTCACGCGCGCGAACGCGCGCGGTACATTCGAAGCGCCGTGACGATGGACGAGTCCGGAGTCGACATGGGTTTCGACCTGACAACCGCGTTCGGCGTCGCCGATCCGGCTGGCCATCATGCCATCGTCGGGGATTACGACGAAGAATTCGAGCAGGCCCTGTCCTACTTGTCGACGTCCACCAAGGAGCTGATGTACTATGAGCTGAAAAGCCGCGCGCCCGATACTGGCAGGTACGTAATCTCGATATCTTAAAAAAAAAAAAAAAAAGAAATGTTCTTTAATCACACGCGCTGATACGCGCGAGATAATGCGGGGTATTCTGTTTAATTGTTGTTGACATTGTTACGGTAACAAATGACGACGAGACTAATCCAGATCTATTAGTATTGTTAACATTAATTAACACTGAGAAAGATTTTGCAATTAATATTAACGTCCACAATGTAACGCTGAAGAGATGGTGCGGTGCGGTTAACGAGAGACGAGGGAATATAAATTACTTGTATCACATTAATCATAATTATTGGACACGTGAATTTCATTTATGATACGACAATTATGCGGTATATATGTGCCGATGTTCAAACAAAAGGAGGCGGATAACTCCAGTTTTGCGCCTCGTGTGGGTGTACACGCTTTTATTTGGAATATGATATCGCGCCAAGCTGCACTGTATGTGAACGATTACAAAGAAGCGGAAGATATAGTAATTTCACTATGTCATTATGAGTTTCGGAAAAATCTAAATCTTTAATGTGTAATAATTTATTTTTAATGTCACGTTGATATGATAAATCGACTTGCAACTAGGCAACATGGCATGATATTCGTAAAGAAAGAGAGTCTATATTAAATCTATATTAAAAATCTATATTAAAAATATATTAATTTGTATTTTAAATAATTTAATAAAAAATTTGGATTTTTTATTGAGTCTCTCAAATATCTCCTAAAACTATAATATTAATACGAGAAATTAAAGGAATCTCTAGTATCTCAGTATCTTAGAATTATATTTTAACAAATAATAAAGTAATTAATAATTCAAAAGAAATAATTATTAATTAATTCAAAAGAAATAATTATAAATATTGTGTAGAACGTAATAAACACAGCGTAATACATCGAACTCGATCATTATCACTAATACAATAACGTTATCTTTACGGGTGCGATGTTCTGATCGATGTAATATTGAACGCGATAAGATTGGATTAAAAAAAAAACACATAATATGCGTATAGAACCACATGCTTTTTCTTAACCTAGTATTAAAATTACATTACAATGATGCTAATTGCATGTGTCTTTTATAGAAAATAGTTTGATTAAAATTTAACTGATGAGAAGAAGAAAGGATGAGGGAAAGAGAAGAAGAGAGATAAATAGAATAATATTGTAAAGGAAAGAAACAAAAAGCAATAATTATTATGTTTATATGAAATAGAAGAATGCTATTGTTATAAAAAATGAGGTATTAAAGAGAGATGAGATAAAAATTGATAAGATGTTAATATAATTTTGAATTGACGAGAGCTTAAAGAGTATCAGTATATGCATATTTATCATTGAAAATATACACATCTTTTATAGCCTGTCGCGTCACTGATATGATAAATTTTGAAGGATGAAATTATTCGATGGCGTACGCGCGATAACGGCGTGTATAAGATGTACTTATGATACACATAACAAATATAGAAATTCGTCTGTATCAGTAATTTTCTGAAAACTCAGCTTTATGAATTTATTTTATATAAAAATTTATAATTTTATTTCACGTACACATATATAATTGTTTTGCTAAATATACAATATATTTTTTTTAATTTTAAGTATTCTTATTTTTTATTCTTTTATTTGTTATTATTGAATTTTAAAGAATGGCATGCAAAGATTTTAACGAATCAATTATCTTTTTGATAATTTGTAGTTTAGAGATTGTTAAATGTTCTTTTATGTTTAGTGAATTATGATTCTTAAGTGCATATGCATGTTATTGTTTAAACGGAGTAAGTTATCTAATCAGATTAAAAATGCAACATGTAAAATATTAGTAGAGCAACACAGGAAATTGTCTGCAAATCTAACAAAAAATTATTTATTGCTGCAATAAATTGGTGTGTAATTTAATTAGTTAGCTTTTCACAAATCTTCGTAATCATTGTTTGGATTAAATTTCACGATATTTAGCCCTTTCCCGAAATATATCGTTCATCATTATTATTTAATGTAATCACAGATATCATTTGCTATATTAATCGGTATTTAAGTGTTTTAGTTTTTGAAGACATTGAACTGAAATCGTGTAAAAGAATAAAAATAAAATCGTTAAGAAAATAAAAGAATGATATGATAATGTGCGATTTAATATGTTTTATTCGCGTTAAACTTATCAATATGCATATGTTCTATATGGTAAATAAATTATAATATGTGTTTATTAAATATTATATAATTTGTGTATTTGTTAAAAGACGTGAAACTGATATATTTCAATTTCTTTTTTTCATCTCTTAATTGTAGAATTTGAAAGAAATGGATACTAATGAATTTTTATGTTTGATATTTTTAAAAATACGTTAACTAAGTATTTATTTTTGGAAAAAAAGGATCAGCATTCGATGCTCGGAAGTAGTATCTCTTCAATTACAATGAGAACCACATACTGTATCTATAGAAAGGACAAAAAATAAAAGGAGTTACAATTCCAATTTTGATTGCAAAATCGAATCAAATCCAATCAAACCTCGCATTTCGTTTTTTTGACAAGAATCAAAACGTGTCGTGATTATAACTACAAAATGCAGTATCTTTGTTATTTAGATCTTTTTTTAACAAAATAAAAAAAAATTCGATAAAATTAAATAATAAAAAACTATATTTGCGTAAAAAATATAAATATAAATTAAAATAGAAAAAAAACTTATACGAAACATTTCGGCAAATTTTAATGATTTTGTTGTTACGCATTAAATAAAGTGGACTCTGCATCTTATGACTAGGCTTTTAAATGGCATATAAAAGGGGCATGTCGTTAGTCATGAATCTATCAACGAGACAATACGTATAAAGGCTTGGTCGTGTTCGCTAAATTATGGGCAATGAGCAATGCTAAGCGATAGTGATTGGTAATCGCGATCTCCCAGGAAAACACGTGTTTATACGTCTTTGATGAATAGTCTATGTATCTTAACTCGTATTAGATTCTCTCGGGCGATCCGCGAGTTGCAGGCGAGAAGCTAAGCGCACACCGCGGATATCAACTTTCACAGTCTCCGAGAGTTTCCCGGTGTGCTCGAATTGCTCCTGAAAGTTCTTGCGTTCTAATCAGTTTCATCCACCGAGCGTTAATTGATACCCGCCGAGAAGGCAACATGAGCCTAAGCTAAAATTTCAATTGCGCATAGAATAGCTGTAATGGTGAATAAACACTTGAGGAATATTGTGCTTAAGATTCTTTTAATAAAAAAGAATATATTTACTGTTATATTTCGGCAGTATATATATTTATTTATTGGTAGTCGAAGAAGATTTTATTTTTACTATGTTATTGATTTTGAAATTAGATAGAGAGAGTAATTATATATTTATTATATTTATTATATTTATTTTATATGAATGATTGTAAAGTCATTTTTCATACAGAAAAAAGTCCCATTTATAATTTTATATCATGAAATATAAGTAATTATAATTTTAGTAATCGTATACTAATGTATTTCTAATCGCGGAAGTTTTGATGATCAGAATATTATTGTTTATCGCTTCGTTGATCTTTCCCGACAATCTATGACATAACAACAATGTGACACGGATGCGATTGTCTTCAGATAGCGCGTTAACGAGCAATAATAATGATTTATCACGTGTAGGATCACACACGTGCGAGCGAATAATAATGTTTTTCGGCTGGAATATTGAGAAATAGATAATATCAATTATCAATAATCTTTCAAAAATTAATAAAATACGCATCTAATTTATCATTAGTTGTAATTGTGAACGCGTGATCACGATGCATCGTGAGTTCAATGACCTAATTTACGTTGGTTAGGAATCCTTTATCACTCGGAAAAATACAATCGAATGGAAAAGAGATTGCGTTATAATATGAAGCCATTAAAACGGAAAAGTGAAAAGAGAAAGGGAGAGAAGGAAAGAAAAATAGGAAAAGAAGGCGTTGATAAAAAATAGTTTCAGAAATTAAATCATTATTTTTGAATTTTGTATGCTATCTCATGAAGCATCCACATCGGATTGACCTTCAATTGTATTGCTTTCAAGTTTATATTGAGGAAGATAGGAATTCTCCAACGAAGGATCAACGATCTCTTTGATAAAGGCAATCAGCGAAAGTGGAGAACGAAGTACTACTTTATAAATACGGTTAGCAAACATCTCTTTTCGCTTTGAGCAAATTTTGCGTTATGATACATTTATATATTTTCACTGTATTCTTTAATATTATATTGTTTGGACACGTACGTGTGTAAGAAGAGAAAGAAAATTTATAATCTTTAAGAAACTATACTTTTTGAATTTTGGAAAAAAACCTATTAAAAAAAAGAGCTAGAATTTCTTATCGTTTTAAATCGACAGATCAGTTTTATTGATTGATTTTTCTTTCTTTTTCTCTTCTATTTCTCTCTTATATAATTATATTCTCTTGTTTGACACATTTATCTATATAATAGAATATTTATGGTCACGGTTTGTGAAGTTAAATAGTCTTTATACAAAAGGATATGGCTTATTCTGTTGTGATTGATCACTAGATATCATTAATATAGACCTTGAAAAATGTTTCGTGACTTGGCGCGATTCAGAATGTAAACGTGATGAATCATATTTATTCTAGGACTGAATACGAGATTAGTTGACATGTACGCAAGATACAGTACAAAAATCAATCTTTATTTTTTCTTATTCGTAGTTCGATTAGATCTTAAATTTTTTCATAATTTCTTAACTTTTAATATTACACATCTTATATGGAACGATATATACATTACAATTTTATAAAACTAATTTAATTGAATTTTAATCGATTGATAATTTGTATAAACGATAACTAATATATAATATATATATATATATATATATATATAATATATAATATATAATATATAGATAAAATATATAATATATATAGATTATCTAAAGAAAAACACATATCTCCACATGAAATTATTTTTAGTGTTAATGTGTGAATACGCGCCAAGCGTTT